GTATAGAGTCTTGATGAGGCAGTTCTTCTGGGATGGATGGTGGTGGGAATCCGGTTTCAAGTAAGCATCTGTATGGGTAGCTTTCCTGTAGACAGAGTGGCTCATTGAACCATCATGTCTCCTTTTAATTAAGACATCCAGAAAGGGTAGTTTGCCATCTTTTTCGACCTCCATGGTAAATCTGATGGCTGGGTGTATGGAATTGATGTGGTCGCGGAATTGGTCTAGAGCAGGCTGGCCATGTGGCCAGATGACAAAGGTGTCATCAACGTACCTCTTCCATAAGGTCGGGCGTAGAGTGGCAGTCTGGATGGCGTCAGTTTCAAATTTTTCCATGAATACGTTGGCTACAACCGGAGATAGGGGGGAGCCCATTGGGGTGCCCTCAGTTTGTTTGTAGAAAGTTCCATTCCAGGTGAAGTATGTGTTGGTTAAGCAATGTCTCACCAGGGGGGGTACATCAGTATGCAGTCCTTGATGAACCAGGTCTTCAATGATAGCGATGGTGTCAGGTACCGGGACTTTGGTGAACAAGGACACCACATCAAAACTGACAAGCAGGTCGTTTGGGGACAGGGAAATGTCTTTGATTGTCGATACCAGGTGAGTAGAATTTAGTACCGCAGAGGTGGTTTTTCCAGTGAAAGGTCGCAGTATATCAGCCAGAAAACGTGCCAGTTTGTAGGTGGGGGAGCTGATAGTAGAGACGATGGGACGAAGGGGTGTATCTTCTTTGTGTATCTTTGGAAGGCCATATAATCTTGGTGGTCTGGCAGCAGAGGGTTTCAACGAGAACTGTTTGATCTCATCAATTAATGCTGTTGAATCAGAGATAATTTTGTTCGTTTTGGTGACCAGGCTGTTGGTGGGATCTCTTTTTATTTTTGTATAGCTGCCATCGTTGAGTAGTTCTTGAATTTTGTTGTTATATTCTGTTTTGTCCATGATGACAGTGGCATTGCCTTTGTCGGCTGAGAGAACGACAATATCATCCCTCTTTTTTAATTGAGATAATTCAAAACGTTCGTCTTTGCTGATGTTGCTAGGTGGCAACTTAGCGTTTTTGAGGGTTGCAGCGATTTCAGATCTTGCTACGTCTGCAGAGATGTGACTCAAGCCCTTGAGTGCAACGTCGACATGGGCAATGATATCTCTGCAGACGTAGCAAGATCTGAAATCACTGCAACCCTCAAAAACGCTAAGTTGCCACCTAGCAACATCAGCAAAGACGAACGTTTTGAATTATCTCAATTAAAAAAGAGGGATGATATTGTCGTTCTCTCAGCCGACAAAGGCAATGCCACTGTCATCATGGACAAAACAGAATATAACAACAAAATTCAACAACTACTCAACGATGGCAGCTATACAAAAATAAAAAGAGATCCCACCAACAGCCTGGTCACCAAAACGAACAAAATTATCTCTGATTCAACAGCATTAATTGATGAGATCAAACAGTTCTCGTTGAAACCCTCTGCTGCCAGACCACCAAGATTATATGGCCTTCCAAAGATACACAAAGAAGATACACCCCTTCGTCCCATCGTCTCTACTATCAGCTCCCCCACCTACAAACTGGCACGTTTTCTGGCTGATATACTGCGACCTTTCACTGGAAAAACCACCTCTGCGGTACTAAATTCTACTCACCTGGTATCGACAATCAAAGACATTTCCCTGTCCCCAAACGACCTGCTTGTCAGTTTTGATGTGGTGTCCTTGTTCACCAAAGTCCCGGTACCTGACACCATCGCTATCATTGAAGACCTGGTTCATCAAGGACTGCATACTGATGTACCCCCCCTGGTGAGACATTGCTTAACCAACACATACTTCACCTGGAATGGAACTTTCTACAAACAAACTGAGGGCACCCCAATGGGCTCCCCCCTATCTCCGGTTGTAGCCAACGTATTCATGGAAAAATTTGAAACTGACGCCATCCAGACTGCCACTCTACGCCCGACCTTATGGAAGAGGTACGTTGATGACACCTTTGTCATCTGGCCACATGGCCAGCCTGCTCTAGACCAATTCCGCGACCACATCAATTCCATACACCCAGCCATCAGATTTACCATGGAGGTCGAAAAAGATGGCAAACTACCCTTTCTGGATGTCTTAATTAAAAGGAGACATGATGGTTCAATGAGCCACTCTGTCTACAGGAAAGCTACCCATACAGATGCTTACTTGAAACCGGATTCCCACCACCATCCATCCCAGAAGAACTGCCTCATCAAGACTCTATACCATAGAGCCCAATGCATTTCCGACCAGGAACACATTACCAGTGAACTCAAGCACGTACACCAGGCTCTCAGGGCTAATGGCTACTCCGACTACACAATCCGCAAAGCCATCACTCCAGTCATGAAGAAGGATCCTCTTGTGGAGCCACTCAAAACCATCACCTTACCCTACATTGCAGGGGTCACTAAAAAGATCTCCAAAATCCTGAATAAACACAAGATCCAGGTCCGATTCAACACAGTACACAAAATCCGTGATTTAGTTCCATCTGTAAAAGATGCTCTTCCAGACATACAGTACCCGGGCGTTTACAAACTAAAGTGCCTCTGTGGTAGTAGCTACATTGGAGAAACCAAAAGACATATCTCGGACCGCATCCGCAAACATAAAGCAGACTTGAAACACGGTAAGACGAACTCCTCTGCCGTGGCAGATCACTGTTACAATTCAGTGGGCTCACATGACATTGACTTCTCCAAGACGGAGGTTCTTTGCAAACCAACCGGCTACCATGAGAGATTCGTTCATGAGGCCATTCACATATACAAGCACAGAGACAATTTCAACCGAGAAGATGGATTCAGGCTTAGTAACCACTGGAAAGATGTGTTAAATCATTTCTGGTCTTAATTAATTGTAATTTTACGATGACCTTCAGACCGCAGCTCTTTCGCCAGCATTGCCTCTTAATACCTCTCACACCACGGTTAATGGTATGGTTTACACCATGGAGTATACTAGGGCCTCGCAGCTGTCTCTCTCCCCCTCCTCTGTTCCGACCATGGACGAACTCGTCCGTCTGAACGGGGCCCGTAGCTATCCGTGGTACGGAAATTTGAGGGTAAGAATCCACCCATTTTTTCGCCATATAGCATTGTGATATATAACGACTTATGGTTGGTAGCTTAGCTGATTGGAGAATATAGAGTTTATTGATAACATGAAGGTAATTTATATTTTAGTTTTTATTGGTTCACTATATAGTACTGTGAATAGCTCAGATGTGTAGTCATTTCTGTGACCAGTCACTAGCAAATCACCCAGTTATTTCAATGCTAAATTCGCCTAGTTATTTCAATGCTAAATTCTCCTGTTTGATTTGTACTAAGTGCCTCGGTGAATGTGTATGCTCTGACTTCAACGTAGCTATTTCTGTAGCAGTTACAAGCGAATCACTCAGCCATTTCAATGCTAAATTCTATGCTAATCCCATTGTCAAGGGGTGCCTCTGCAGATGTGTATGCCTTAACTTAGCTATTTCAATGCTAAATTCTATGCTAATTCCTTTTAACAATGGGTGCCTCTGCGGATGTGTATGCTTTAACTTTTAACATAGCTATTTCTGTGACCAGTCACAAGCTAATCATTCAGCCATTTCAATGCTAAATTTTATGCTAATTCCTTTGTCAAGGCTCTTTGTTCCTCTCACACAGCTTAAAAGCCGTGATCTGAACGTGGCTCTCTCACTCCAGCGCTGTCCTACCAGACAGTCTCGCCCCCTTCACCTGATGAAGGCCGCTTGTGTTGTGGCCGAAACGTCGTGAGAATATTATTGTGTTATTTTATTTTATCAATTTATTATTTTATTCTCATTCTACGTGACTTTACCGAAAGAACCAAAGAAGATGAATCATTGCAGTCACGAAAGCTTTAAATCGAAATATAGGAAATGCAAGCAAATTACTAAATGTACATACAATAGATAAAGCATACAGTATATTGTAAGTATAAATTGCAAAAGTACAGTATATAAATTCCTGACGATTTTTCAACGATAACTGCAAACTTGGGCAAGGCAGCAAAGCATCAACAGTCCCAGACAACAGCAAAAACAAAACAGTGCGCATTACAAATTGAACTATCGATACACGGGTATCAAAGCTACAAATCGCGTTTGCAAACGGGGTTGCATCCTGCAATGTGTTAGTATCCAGCGTAAAGAATTATGAGACTCGGTGAGCTTATCCGAGGTAAACGAGGTAAAAAAAACGAAATCAGATATCCAAGATCAAAATCAGAATATTTATCTACACTGGAGGAATCCGATGAGCGATAAATCTTTTTTTCACACATGTCCAGTATGGGCAGGTCAGAACGTTACAACAATACAAAAAAAAACAAGATATGAGTGCAACGTACAGCAAAGGTAAACAAATAACTTTTAAAAAATATACTAATAAAACTAAATTATTTGTAATCCTACCAGCTAAAGCCCAGAGCTATTATCTTATTTTTCAGAAGCGACAGCCCAGGCCACATATGATAGCTCAACGAAGTGGCTTATCTTTTCGACATTTATAGCAGCAAAGTAATCTACTATTCTGATAAATCTCACCATAACACATTAATTGGTGTAGCTATTGGCCAGAACGAGCTTTTTCCCTCCACGTGTCCTGACCCAGCTGGTTCACTTCCTCGTCGTCGATGACGTTGGGGGGGGGGGCGGTATTGGGGTAGGGGGTTGGGAAAGGGGGAGGAGGGGGGGATAGGGGGATGGGGTTGGGGGATAGGGGAAGGGGAGATGGGGAAGGGGAGGTTGGGGGAGGAGGGATAGGGGGAGAAGAGCGGTGGGGGGATGGGGGAGGGAAATAGGAGAGAGGTGGAGGGATAGGGGGAGGAGCGTGTGCGATAGGGGGAGGGGCGTGCAGGGATAGGGGGAGGGGGGAGATAGGGGGGAAGGGGGAGATAGGGAGGAGGGGCGTGCAGGGATAGGAGGAGGGGCGTGCAGGGATAGGGGGGAGGGGCGTGCGTGGTGACGTCACGCCGGGCCTGCACTGTCCCGCGTCTTTATGTCTGCCTCGCCATTACAACCACAAACAATCGGAACGGCCGCGCGACACACAAATCGCGGCATCGCCGCCGCCCGCGCGGATCCACGACTCGGCCAAAGCGGGCAGCGGTAACAACAACAACAACACCACCACCACTCGTAACCGTAACAATAACAACAACAACAATAATAATCATACGAACAGGCGCGCGGCGGCGTCGGCGGCGTCGGCGGCTGGCGTCATGTACCCGGGCTGGAGCCAGGCCTCAGGCCTACACGGGTCGGGCCTGCCCGCTACGGGTCCCGGCTCCTACTCGGCTTCGGGGCTCGGTGGCATGGCTTACAATAATGCCGTCCTCTCTTCCTCCTCGGCGGCGGCCGCTGCTGCTGCTTCTTCTTCGTCGTCATCGTCGTCTTCATCGGTCAATTCGGCTGCGCCTGCCTCCTCGTCGACGGGATTCCAAAGCCTGCAGCAGCAACACATGCAGCAGATGCAGCGTCTGCAGCAGATGCACCATCAGCAAATGCAGTCTTTCAATTCGTCGTCGTTGTCATCGTCACTCTCGGCGGCGACGACCAGCGCCGTCTCGACTGTTGCCTCGCCCGCCGGCTCCTCCACGTCCGTGACGTCGTCTGCCAACACGGCCGCCTCGTCCATGGCTCCTATCTCGTCGATAGCCTCCTCCTCTGCTTCATCCACAAAGCCCGCGTCCTCCATCTCATGCGTTCCCCCAGCGACCCCGGCACTGCCCCCGGGTCCCCCGCCTCCCCTGCCCCCGTCAGGGCCACCCTCGGGCTACGGCTACAACCCCTACTCGGTGGGTGGCGGTGGTGTCGGGGGGCCCCCCACCACCAACACCACGATGCCCCCCTACCACTACTCGGGACACTACGGGGGGATGTCTCACTACCCGCCTCCCACGCAGCCCCCCCAGCCGTATCCCATGGCTGCCTCTTCAACCTCCACCTCCGTGTCAACCTCCACTGCGACCGCGCTGCCGCTACCCTCCACCCTCTCATCGGGGATCGAACATCATCAACAACAACAACACCAGCCCCAGCCGCCACCTCCGCCCCTGCCACCGTCCGAGGAGCCACTGCCACCTCCACCTCCCGATGATGGTGCTGACGAGGTTTGTCACTTTTTTTTTGGGGGGGGGGGGGGGGGCGCTGTGATTTTTATTTTGTTGTTGCTGTTGCGTGGTTTCACGCATTTCGCTTGGCACCGACGCCGCGGGCGCTGAGCTGCGAAGTATTTTTAATTCGCCGCAAAACCGGGGGCATTTGCCCTCTCGACTCTTTAGTGCCACGCACACGCACTTCCTGAACGGAAAGTGGTCATCGGCGGTGGTATAGATCGATGTAAGCAAGATGAAAAGGAGGAAGTAAAGTCTGTCAAAGCATCGGCACAGGTAGAGTGCGCCACGGTGAACTGCAGCTCGGCTTCCACTACCGCGTGAGTCCATTAATTTGCAATGCCCTTGCGAGGCAAATCTTGAGAGGGAACGCAGAGAGGTCCACTCACATTACCAGTGCAACACAAAAAATACACTAATTGGAGAAAACGAAAATGAAGGCTGTAGAATACTAACAAGGATGAAACTGATATACAGTTGGTCTGTCTGTGTATACGGGCGGTGATGGCACAACGCCTGTTTAATCCAGCACTGTGGAGGTTAGGGGAGGGTTGGTGGATCGCAGAAATGTTGCCGAACTCCCTTCCCGTGGGGCGTCGAGGCGTCGTACCGTGGCTCACCAGGAGAAGGTACAGCAAAATGCAGACTTTCGTTAACCTCTCGTCCCCTTGTCTATGGGGTAGTGTATTGACCCCTCGTATTTCTCAGCGTTCCCCATGTATTTCCCACTTGTATAAACACTCATCGGCAGACAAAATCTTCATCTAGAGAGGACTGCAGAGGTGCCGGCTCACTTGCCTGACTGCCTTCAAGGCCATCTGTGGTTCCTCGGCGATTGTCAGATGAAATGATCATGGATGATGTTATTTAAAACTGAACATTATTACACTTTTGTTTCATCGTCCTACTGCTGCTGAAATTAATGTGTCCACAATATTTTGACTCTTTTGAGTTGTCTAAAACGAGGCTGTGTGCTCAATGCCATCACACAGTGTGTCGATGGAACGTGACATGCAAGGCATGATGGGAGGACATGCTATGGTCATAGTCACGTCTTTTGCTGTAAAGAATTCACCTTTTGCTTGTACAGTATTTCCCTTATTTGTTTCCAGCCTTTGCTGAAATATTTAATTCCGTCCGATGAGTCTCTTATCATTCACAGACAGTCATCATATGTGTTTGCACACTGATGTGTGTTTTTTATTTGCAGACGGCCGTGGCCAATGTGGGTGACCCTGAGGAGGCTGCCCGGTTGCGACAGCTTCAGCAAGCAGCTGCCCAGTGGCAACAGCGCAAGCAGTGGCAAGAGCAGCAGCATCAGCAGCAGCATCAACACCAGCAGCAGCATCAGCCACATCAGCACCAGCAGCAGCACCAGCCGCATCAACAGCAGCAGCAACCGCAACAGCAACAACAACAGCAGCAGCATCAGCAAATGCAACAGGGATACATGCAGAGCCAAGTGGTAAGAAGAGCTCCAGTCATTCTGCGACCACTTTCATCGCTGCTACTTACCCTTCCGCGCTTTAGATATTTTAGACATTGGCACCAATGTGTAGTCGGTACTCATGCACCGCCCCAGCGACTTGGTGTTGACATTGGAATTAAATTTCTGTTGCATTTTCCCCTCGTTTTTTTCTTTTTCATTTCATCTCATTTAGTACAATTGTGTTTGTACCATGAGCCTAATTGTAACATGAGCATATAATTTGCACGTACAATGCAAACGTGTGGTCTTGCAATTGCTTGCTCACGCCAGTGCTGGCATAAAGAATCGCCACTCAAGCAAACTCTGGAGGGTATTTGGTCTACTCTTCCACGTTGTCCCCCCCAGCACACATGACCTGCTGATCGACTGATTGTGTGGTTGAACCCATGTACAGTAAAACTTTGGATTGCGAGCATAATTCGTTGCGGAAACGTGTTTGTAATCCAAAGCACTCGTATATCAAAGCGAATTTTCCCATAAGAAATATTGGAAGCTCAGATGATTCGTTCCACAACCCAAAAATATTCATATAAAAATTATTAATACAAAATACCTTTTTATATTTTATAATTTAAATTTAATATAAAGTGATCAAATTTATTAATTCAACTTAATCGCGGCTGGTGTGACGGAGACAAGAGAGAGGAGAAGAGGAGGAGAGTTATTGTGTAGGACGACTTTCACTGTCACTAACGGAATCACTGCCATCTGTTGGCTCACTGGAATCTTTTTGTGCGAGGCAAGCCGGCTGAGACCGAGCATGGGAGACGATTACCCAACAATCCCGCAGTGAGAGAGAGAGAAGAACCATCGGCTCAGTTATGATCACGTGACGCTCGGCAGACAAAGCGTATACGTACAACTCGTATTGCAAGACTTTGCTCGTTTATCAAGTTAAAATTTATTTTAAAAATTTGCTCGTCTTGCAAAACACTCGCAGACCAAGTTACTCGCAATCCAAGGTTTTACTGTATGTGGAATTTAAGAAACTTGCACGAAAGTTTCAACGGACCTCGCCAGAAAATGGAATCGAACCGACCCCCCTCTTGTTTTGCAAATCCAATGTGTGCCCGCCATTACTGCACGGCAGTTCAGTTGGCATGTATTTTGCACCCATGGTTTTTAGCAGTCTAAATTATTATAATTCGACACGTGTATCATGAGTGTAAGAATCGTAAGATTTTTATTTTTAACTGGTGCATTTTTACACGCCAAGGCCACATGAGAAAACTAAACTCGAGCGATTTTTGCGCTGGATTCATCACGCTCTTAATGCAGGTTGGTGAAGGCGGCGTAGAGTGTTATTCTATACAGCGGACGCAGCAGAGTAGGAGAGATGCATTGTTGTATGGAGATTAATTATTAATAAATGAGAGAATAGGCAGTGTTGCCAAGATAACTATTCATCCTGTTGCGTACAATGTCTCCAAGAGCTGTGGGCACCTACTCAAGTGTTCATGTGTGCGTTTTTACTGGTAGGAACGAAGTTGTAAACTGAGTACCAGCCTGCAATAGATTAATGTGTCCGTCCGTCCGTCCCCTTTCAATACTTAAACGAAGTGAAATCTCGTGCTGTTGGGTGTAAAATCAGCAATAGACAGCGCAGAGACTTGATATGTCTTATTGCACCCAACATTTGGAAGTCACATTATCTCATTTGCGAACTTCTACCAGCCCACCCTGCAGGGACCTGTTATTCAGTTTTTTATATCGTCAAATCATCGCATTAAAAATCCCACATCATCGATGAGTTATTGACTAGCCAACCACCAAACCGTACGCAATGTCCAGTGTGGTCTGGTCAAGCAAGTTTTGTAACTGACAGCATGGTGAGGCTTTTATCCAGCAGTGGACTGACAAAAGGGCTATAAAAATCACAAATGTACGTAATGGATTGTCATGTAAGCAATCCATTTTTAACACGCCGTACGGTTTGAACGTTTGCACGTGCCAATTTGCTCATTTATTTCTAAAACAATAAATTATCGATTCAGTGAACAATTATCTCTAATCTCTTAGCAACCTGAGATCGGTTGATACTGAGTTGTCTCAGCAGGCTACTCAAGCAGCACACGGTATCCTCCGAAAATAATTCAATCATTTGGATTATCCGTACAAATCCAAATTTGTAGTGGGGCAACTCAGAATGGCAGCCTTTTGCTGCTCAGTTATCTGATCTGACAATTCAGTGGCTTATGGATGATTGTATCCCGGTTAGTTTTTTTTGTGCAAATAGTTAATTTTTATAAAAAATATATTTTGTGTCACATTTTCTAATTCTCTGCCCCCGCTAATTCAGGTGACACCGGTGGAGACGCAGACAACGCCAGCCGAAAAGAGCGGAGAACAGGCAGAGACTCTGGCGGATATCGAGTGGCAGCAAGCTCAGTTCGACACGCTTTACGCGCAGTGGAAGACGCAGTTCAACGAGTGGCAGGAGCAATACAAGAACCACCCGGACCACGAGCAGTTTGTGCAGTACGAGCAGCACTGGAAGCAGTGGCAGCAGCAAATGCAGGCGGTGGGCGCAAACTTGCAGCAGCGAAAGGAGCAGCTTACGAAGTCTACCGTTGCGCCTCCGCCCATACCCACGCAGCCCGAGCCGGCGCTGCCACCGACCCTACCGCTAACCTTGCCACCAACCTTGCCGCCGCCACTGACGCCGTCGCATCCGCTAAACATTCCACCGGGACCTCCATCGACACTGCCACCGGGCCCACCACCAGGCCTACCACCAGGACTTCCACCAACGCTACCGCCTGCCTATCCCCCTACGTACCCACCGACATTTCCTCCGGTTTATCCGCCAAATTACTCTCCACTTTACCCCCAGACGCTGCCGCCAATGTTGCCTCCAGCTCTCCCATCAACACTCACGCCGCCCGTGAGCTCCTCGCAGGAGGTGGCCGTCGGCAAGGCAGCGAGCGACACGGCGGCAAGCAGTGTCACGGCGGTGGCGTCATCGGAAGGAGAGGGATTCGCGGGACCTGTTCCCGGAGCTGCGAGGCCCTCGCTGCTATCCCCTCCTCCACGCTTCGCTGGGTCCAGCATGCCCAGGTACCCAGTGTCTCTTTTCCCCATTGTGCAACAGATGCTGGGCTTGTGGTGTGCAGAGCCAGTCTAGCGTGGACCGGCAGACGCCCCAGATTGTTTTTCCCACTGCGGTAGCAGAGATGCGCCGCTAACGTTCCGCTCGATGAATTGGTCGAGGCGCGGGTAAACGTTGGGCTGACGCCGTGGCTTCACAGTGTACCAAATGACGTCATGTGGAATTAAAAGTCGAATTATGTAGATGTCGCAGTGAGGTTGTGACTTCAGTGTTCAAGGGCTTTTGCTGAGGTACATTGTGGGCAACAGAGGACAGTGCAGCAGATACGTTGTTGTGCTGTATTTCTTTTCTCCCATGTCAATTCTGCCCGCCTTCATCAAACCGTACTGACCAGCGTGGTGGAGTATGGTAAAATAACCCCCTTAAACCTGGATGGTATTGGGAGACCCCCATGGATTGACAAAAAGGCTCTTATGTGTACTAACATGTACAGTGGTTACATTAGTAACTTTTCCTACCCAAGCCCACTAACCTAATGGTCAATATGATGTCTTTAAACATGATTTGAAGCTTTCGTGACTGCAGGAACTACGCTTTTGGTAGAGTCACATGTGTTTTGTTAGTTCTACCTTATGACGACTGCTTGTGTTGCAATCGAAACGTCGTATTCTATTATTTAATTTATTTTCTTTCTACGTGACTTCACTGATGATGTCTTTAATTATTTTTTCTCTCTAATCCATTTGTTCCTCTTTCTGTCCTTCAGTGTAATTCCAAGCATGCATCTCTCCATGCTTTTTTACACCATGTTCAGCTTTGTTCCCTTTGTCAGCATTTATTCTTGTGTTTAACGAAGTCATAGCAGGCCATATGCGCTGTACCTGCAATGCGTATGTAATGGGTTCACCCTAGCCCTGCAACCAAGGGTAGCCACTCCATGAACCACGATGCTTAAAAATAAATTGATTATTGAATGAAGTCGCCATCGAGACAATATGACACCTAGCAGGGAAAAAATAAGCTAAATGTCTCTCAAGAAACAAGTGCCCTTCCTGTGCACGCCGGCGTGAGAATTTCTACTGAGTTTACGTTGTGTGTTTTTCAGGCTCAGTGGACCTATGCATTATCCTCCCCTCTATGGCAATCAAATGCCATCTGGCGGCAGGCCTCCTCAGGGCTCCTTCCAATCATCCGGTCCTCAAACAGAGACGGGCAGCTCTTACCCAGGTTCTTCTCAGCGATTCAACGACCCCTCCCCGGAACGGTCGAGCGCGACTGCCGTACCTCTGCCGGGATCGCGATATTCTAGGTCCGGCCTCCTGGACGGACCCAGAGGACAGGAGGGTACCACGGACCTCGAGAGGTCATCGGCGCCGGCGACGGAAAGTTTCGGGCCATTCAGCGGCTCAAGTTCTCAGTTCGACTCCACTGACGCCCAGGATCTGGACACTCACGATAAAGGCGGTCATGGTGAAGCATCGTCAAGCCGAGGAGGAATTTCTCGATTTGAAGGCTCTCATCTCCAAGGGGCCCACAATCAGGGCCCGAACAGTCAGAGCGAAGGACCCCGTATGCAGGGATTCCGTCCGAACGACCAAAGCAGTCAATACGGGGGTCCACGGTTTCCAGGGCCTCGCTTCTCGGGCCCCAACGCTCGATTTGTGGGACCTCATGGCCTAGGTTCACGTTTTCAGGGCCCCGGCGGCAACCGATTTGATTGGCCCGGATCTCAGGGCACACTTGCGCACGGCGGAGGTAGCGAATTTGAAGAATTGCACACGAAGGGCCCTGGCGGCGGGAAGTTTGAAGAGCCACGTGTTCAACGCAATCGCTTTGAGGTCTCCGACGGTGAATTTGAAGAATCGCGCACGCACGGAAAGGACGGTCAGTTTGAGGGATCGCTGGCACAGAGCAGCCAAGCCTCGGATGTTGAGAACAAATTTGAAGGCGCTCGCTCCACCCATGGCACCGGCAGTGAGGGTGAAGGTGCGTGCATGCCAGGACCCAATCAGCACGGCGCCAACAGTCCGTTTGGGGGATCCCATTTCTCAGGGCCACGCTTTCAGGGCCCCAATGCTTCATTTGAAGGACCACGTCCGCCAGGCTCCGATTTTCGAGGACAGGGTCCTGACGGTCAGTTTAACGAGCAGCGTGGTCCAGGTTCTCAAAATTGGGGCCCCAGCAACGAGTTCAAGGGACCGCACTTCCAAGGCTCGCACAAGTGGGGCCCTGGCAGTCGGGGTGAAGGTCTCCTTGGCGAGGGCCCGCATTCTAATGTCCCAAGCCATCAATTTGGGGGACCACGTTTTTCAGGGCCTCGATTCCAGGGCCCTACCAGTCGATTTGAAGGGCCTCGTGCCCCGGGCTCTCGATTTCAAGGCCCCAACAACAGCAGATTCGATTGGCCTGGCTCTTGGGGCCACGTTAACGAATTTGAGCAGTCTCAAAATCAGGGTCCTGACAAAAAATTTGAAGGATCCCATGCACAAATCTCACCGTACCAGAGCTCCAGTAATAAGTCTGAATGGCCACAAGCCCATGGTCCTTTCACTCAGGATGATAAGGGTGAAATAAAGGAACCACATGCCCCAGGGCCTCACACTCAGGGAGTCAACGTTCAGAATGAAAGTCCTCACTCTCAGAGTACTCCTCGCGGTCCCTTTGGTCAGTTTGGTGGGCCTCGCTTCCAGGGTCCCCGTTTCCAGGGCCCTAGCAGTCAATATGTAGGACCTAACAATCAATCCGAAAGACAACAGGCCCAGGGTCCCCAATCCCAAAGTCCTGGTAATCGGCTTGAAGGACTTCATGCTCAAACACCTCAGCTTAAAGACCTCAACAGCCAGACAAATGTGTCCTACAGCCAGGGTTCTTACTCTCAGGGTCCTAAAAGCCAATCTGAAGGTCCTCAGCCTCAAGGTCCCACCAATCGGTTTCAGGGCCAGCACCCCATGGGCCCTCGTCCTCAAGGCCCAGTCAGTCAGTCTGGAGGTCCTCGTCCCACAGGTCCCGGTTCTCAAGATCCCACCAATCAATCTGTAGGTCCCCATCCTCAAGGTCCCACCGGTCAATCAGGAGGTCCTCATCCCACAGGTCCTGGTTCTCAAGGTCCCACCAATAAATCTTTAGGTCCCCATCCTCAAGGTCCCACCGGTCACTTAGGAGGTCCACGTCCCACAGGCCTTGGTTCTCAAGGTCCCACCAATCAATCTGTAGGTCCCCATCTTCCAGGTCTCACCGGTCAATCAGGAGGTCCTCGTCCCACAGGTCTTGGTTCTCAAGGTCCCACCAATCAATCTGTAGGTCTCCGTCCTCAAGGTCCCATCTGTCAATCAGGAGGGCCTCGTCCCACAGGTCCCGGTTCTCACGTTCCCACCAATCAATCTGCAGGTCTCCGTCCTCAAAGTTCCATCGGTCAATCAGGAGGGCCTCGTCCCACAGGTCCCAGTTCTCAAGTTCCCACCAATCAATCTGTCAGTCCACGTCCTCAAGGTCCCACCGGTCAATCAGGAGGTCCTCGTCCTACAGGTCCTGGTTCTCAAGGTCCCACCAGTCAATCAGGAGGTCCTCGTCCTACAGGTCCTGGTTCTCAAGGTCCCACCAGTCAGTCTGTAGGACCCCACCCTCAAGGGCCCACTGGTCAATCAGGAGGTCCTCGTCCTACAGGTCCTGGTTTGCGAGGTCCCACCAGTCAATCTGTAGGTCCACGTCCTCAAGGTCCCACCGGTCAATCAGGAGGTCCTCGTCCTACAGGTCCTGGTTCTCAAGGTCCCACGAGTCAATCTGTAGGTCCATGTCCTCAAGGTCCCACCGGTCAATCAGGAGGTCCTCGTCCTACAGGTCCTGGTTCTCAAGGTCCCACCAGTCAGTCTGTCGGACCCCGTCCTCAAGGGCCCACTGGTCAATCAGGAGGTCCTCGTCCTACAGGTCCCGGTTCTCAAGGTCCCACTGGTCAGCTTGTGGGTGCCCATGAACAGGGTTCTCGCTTTCCAAATCCAAACGCTCAAGGACCTCGCAATAATTTTCAGGGACCTAATGCCCAAAACCCAAGAAGTGAGGGCCCTCAAGGGCCCAACGCACAGGGTCACAATGTCCATATAAATGGGCAGCGTTTCCCACCACCTGGCCCAAACTCTCAAACCCCCTTTTCGCACAGCGGAAATTTTGTTCCCCAAATGGGTGGCCCTAACCCCAGAGGTTTTGGCCCGAGAGGGCAGGGTCAGGCAGTGCCAGTCAGGGGTCTAAATCAAGGGCCCATGGAGACCGCTCCCAGGTTCCCTGGCCCTCACGGCTCATTGCCTGGATCTGCAGAAATCCGGCATCCAGTCCCTGGACAAGTCAGAGCTCCTACGCCCCAGCAATGTGCAGCTGGTAAACAGGTGCCGGATAGTGACAGTACAAGCGAGCCTCCCGATAAGAAGGCCAAAACAGGAGATGCCACGGCACCAACAAATGTTGCGGCAAAACAGTTGAATGCAACCGGTGACCAACAAAAGGGCAAGACTGACCAGGAGACAAACCTGCAAGCCTCGAAGGTGGAGCAGCAGCACCTGCCCGGTGTCATAAAGCCGCAACAAGGTGGGCAACTGGCGGCGGGAAGATTCGCATCGTCGTCCTCGGCACCGTTGCAGACTTCACAGCCCAATCAGGGTAGCGTTGGCCCAGCTGGCGGCGTGTATGAGGGCGCCAGCTTGTCTAATCCTGCAGACAGCACCACAGTCTCCATGCAGATGGACGAGCCCATGCTTCTAGACGAGGACATGGAGGACAATGGTCAGATAGATTCTCAGCCGCCCGGCTGGCACGGCCAGAGACGCAATGATGACACCGATGCAAGACCCTTCGGCGGCATGGGTGGTAGTGGCGAGAGGTGGGGCGGTGCCCCGCCGCACAGGTCAGACGAGCGATGGGCCCCCGAGGAGCATTCGCACGAAACAGGGCAACCGTGGAACAGACCTCCGTTTGCGCAAAACAGGGAAACTTCCAACATGAGGAGACCTTTGAACAAACCTTCCGAAGGCAAAAATCCCGAGTGGGGCAACAGGGGTCCGAATCAGTTTCCTCCCACGGGGAGGCCGTTCCCACCTCGGTTCCCCAGGGATGCCATGGACCGACAGTTCCAGCCGATGCAGCCAAGAGATCGGGACCAGGGGTACGAAGAGGAGTTCGGCTTCCATAGGGACTTCGATGCCCGCTTCGAGCGTGACTTTGATCAAGAGCCACGGCAGGGCTACGGGGAATTTGGAGCCGAGGGGGAAGGGGAAGAGGAGGAGGAGGAGGAAGAATACTACGACGTGGACGGCCGGCCTCTGGGTCGGAGCAGCCCTGGCAGGGAGGAGCACTGGAGAGAAGGCCCCAGAGAGGGCGAGTTCGGTTACAAAGAGCGAGGCCCCTGGAACGAAGAACAGAACGAGGAGGGGTGGGACCACTGGAATCCGGACAGTCGCCCTGGTCACCCTGGCATGCCCAGGCACAGAGGGATGGGGGGGCCCCCCATGGGCATGCGGGGACGAGGCTTCATGGGACCCCCGCCTCGGGGCAGGTTCATGATGCAGGGGCCCCGACGAGGAGGTCCGAACAGGCCTCCGTTCCCGCCGTGGGGCGAGCACGAGCGGGGCGGACACTCGCTGGGCCCCAGACGCGGTGGCCCGCCCGAGGGTCATCCGCGGGGATTCGGCAGGGGAGGGCCCAATGGCCCTCCGGCTTCGAACAGGTGGGATCCCTCGGGCCCGGGCAGGTCACACTTTGGTGCACCTTTGCCTGGAAACAGACGGGAGCTACCGCCGCCGATGCGTCGGTGGGATGGCGGACCCGAGGAAGACGACGATAATGACGGTGGAGGACGCCCGCACTGGGATCGCGACGCTGAGCAGTGGGACGAGCAAGGCGTCGTGCAGCGATGGCGGAGGGAAATGTCACCTCCGTCGTCGCCACCGCCGCCACCACCACCGCCAGCGGAAGGGGATGAGGAGGGAGACCTTGAGTTCCCTGATCGCGTGATGTCACTCTCGAGCAGGGAGCACGAGATCATCTTAAAGGCCGCACAGGAGCTCAAAATGCTCAGGTGAGCGCAGGTGATCTGTTCCGTTGTGTTTTACTACGCAAGAAGATTGTATCTTAATGGGCTCGCATGTAATTTTATAGATCCCTGATGTATTTGGACTGAATCATTACCTGATTAATCTATCAATGCATTCATTATCTAAACGATTGAATTACTGATTAATTGTTGGCTAATTTCTTCTTTAGAACTGCTTTTTGTGTTTAAATTGTTGTCCTTCCCCCGCACCTCCGATGAGCACGGGTTGGCTACGTACTGTGCGAAAGAAGTTGAACAAACCTACATAATTTATTTGATGTAAAGTACCTTATCAATTTATTTTCTTAATTAATCGATGTACCAGATGGCTTTGACGGATGTTCAAATTCAGTGATTGACAGTATTTTGGTGCATATATCCAACCGTCGCATATCTGCCCTGACCAATTCACCACTGTCGCCCAGTGCAGTTTAATGCACGTGGTGCAACTGTCATCTTCCATGGATGTTTTCAAAATGTGACCTTTTCACAGTCGGCCGTCCGAATGTCTCTGCTCCATATCCAAATCGGTACTTACTGTAATTGACACGTCGCTTGTCTTCCATAAAAATAGAATAAAATTATTTTCGAGCGAGTTCAAACAAAATCGCCGTGTAACTAATCGGCCGGGGGTGATTGAATCGTTATGTAGCCCATGTCCATCGTTTATGATACAATTGGGTACAGTAAAACCTTAGATTGCGAGCATAATTCGTTCCGGAAACGTGTTTGTAATCCAAAGCACTCGTATATCAAAGCACTCGTATATCAGTTGTGATCACATGACGCTCGGCAGACAAAGCGTATACGTACTACTCGTATTGCAAGACCTCGCTCGTTTATCAAATTATTATTTATTTTTAATTTTTGCTCGTCTTGCAAAACACTGGCAGATCAAGTTACTCGCAATCCAAGGTTTTAAATTCTTATTCGGCGAGCAAAACCTGGAATTGCTTTTGAGCATTATGCATAGGCCTTGGCCAGGGTGTTTATGCATCAGCACATTTACCTCCTTTGGTTAATTGATGTTTGTGTGTGTCCGTGTTTATTTCTATTAAAATATTTCAATACATCTCAGGGAGCAGCAAGAGCAGCTGCATTTGCTGAACGAGATGCAGAATGATGTTCGAGGAGTCAAGACATCACCATCCCCTTCCAGCAGTGCTGCACCGTCATACTACAGGGTAAGCTGTGTTTATACTCCGATACTACTGGGTTCGCTGCGTTTCTACTGCCATACTTACAGCTACCCTGTGCTTATACTGCCATACTAACGGGTACGCTGCCATCTCGTGTGTGTGTGTGTGGGTGGCAAAATGGGCGAGCGAGGGATAGTGAGTTTGCCGCGTGTTGCACATCCTCGTGGTTTGAGCCCAGCGGCCTCCCCTGGTTAATACGGGGGCGTCAGGGTGGCGCATTGCTAACACTTGTGCCCCAAAGCAGGAAGGGCCTGTGTTTAATTCCCGACTCGGAGTCTGTATGTTTTCCCCATGTTCTGCATGTAACTGGTATTGGCCGAATAAACATCCCAAAGCTGACAAATTACAGCGAAGATTTCTCAATTTGGATTGTACGTAGCAACGTCACCCCTACTGCGACAAACTTGGCAGGACCCTCCTGACAATGAGTCTTGAGGCTCAGAAACGCTGAACTCAGAAAATATCCTTTCTAGATTTGAAGCTTTCGTGACTGCAAGGATCCATACTCTTTGGTTCTATTCGGTAAAGTCACGTAAAAGTATAAAACAACAAAAAAATTCACGATGTTTCGGCCACAACACAAGTGGCCTTCATCAGGTGAAGGGACCAGACTGTATCGAGGACAGCGCTGGAGTGAACACAGCCAAGCTCAGACCGCGACCTTTAAGCTGTGTGAGAGGAATTAAGGTGCCTTGACAAAGGAATTAACATAAAAATTAGCATTTAATTGGCGGACTTAGCATGATGAACGGTGTAGAGGGGGTGAACATGTGCAGACCGGCGAGGGGGGGAGGGGGAGTTTAAATATTGATGGTGTGAAAAGGGAATTTAAGCAGCTGCGAAAGTTTGGGGTACCACTACTTGAAAAAATATACTGTACCATTGAAAATTAGTTTAATGTTTGGTTCGATTTAGAACATCTTTCAAATGGTTGCTTAATTTGAAACCATCTTCTCGGTTGAAATTGTGTCTGTGTTTGTAAATCTGAATTGCCTCGTGAACAAATCTCTGATAAAAACCCGTGGGTTTGCAAAGAACCTTGGTATCGGAGAAAATGATATCGTGATCACCCACAGCGTTGTAACAGTGATCAGCTACGGCAAAATAATTCGTTCTGCCGTGTTTCAAATCTGATTTGTGCTCGCGAATTCGGTCAGAAAATATCCTCTGAGAAATTAATCCCTGATCATGACACACACACACACACCCGTGGTGGGGGGGCGTGGCTGTCTTTCCAGACGTCACTCGACGCCCTGGACTCGCCAGCGGAGAAGCCCAAGGTCGACTCCGGTGGCAGCGGTTGGTCCCACGGGGAGGCCCCCTGGGTCAGGGAGTCGTTGGCGCCCAGCGCGGGAGTGCTGCGCCACGACAACCCGGGGTCTTGCCCGCCGCCGCTGCCGCCGCCATCATCGTCGCTGCTTGAAAGGAAGCCGCTGAACCTGGAGCCGATGAGTGTCAAGAAAATCACGCATGACTACTCGCACGGCTCAGGTGAGAGACGTGCCAGCATCGTCGGAGACAAAGCCGTTCCGCACGCTGCCCGTGTGGCCGGAGGGTCGAAGCATTGAGCCGCCACGGCCGAGATGCTGGGTTTGAATCTGCATTTCAGCCACCTGTTATTTAAAGCGTGTTCAGGAGGGTGGCGACACGTATAGAGGACCCTATAGGCGGTTTTTGTTTGACCGTACTTCACCACGCCAGACATTGCGTGTGTGTTTTTAATGGGGGCGACCCCAGGACCGTTTCAGATATTACTCGTCGCTTATATTGGCCTGAACCAGGAAATGAAACTCGGGTCGCTGACTTCAATCCACTGCCAGATTCGGGCCTCCCCAACTTGTTACCATCTCTCGCGATCTTGTGATGCAACAGTTAAGCACCTGTACATGAGCTAATATTGCCGTAATATGCAGTCATACGTTTTTGTTTGAAAAGCGCAGGATGCGGCTCGTAATCTACTAAGTGTGTATGTGTGTGTGTGCGCGGGCATAGCGGAAGGGCTGCCTCGCATAGAGCAGACGTCATATGGTGAGCGAGTCTCCCTGGGTCGTGGGAAATCCTACATCAGAGGTACGTGTACAAAGACAAAGACACGAGGCATCACAAGCAGGGAACTCTCTCATCAGCATGCGTTTCCTCCGTGGTCTTCTGTTTTCTTCCGTAGATAAAAAAAACAAACGTCATTCATGTTGACGAAAAATGCCTCCTACAGGACCAACCTGAAAAAGGGTCCTTGAGTTTCAGTGCACACATCTTTTATATGCCCCTTTAATAGACTGGCTGGCCCCAACTGGTTATACTGTATGCCATCATCTTTCCTTTTGCCGTGGGGATCATGAGGTGGGGGGGGGACTACCAATGATGCGTTGGCAATCGACTCTTAGCCTCTTACGGTCTTTTGCGGTCTGCGTGTCTCCCGCTGATCTCCCTGTCCCAAGTCGCTTCGTACATCATCCAGTAGCCGCTCCAGGGGTCAAGCAATCTCTCTCCCTCGTCCCCCTTCTGCTTGTACCCTGCAGGATGGTGTCGGAGAGTCGCTCTTGTATTTTGAGTGATGTCATTGCAGCTTCCTCCTCCCTATGCTTTTGCCAGTCATGGTTCGTGTCCCTCAAACGTTAAAGCCACTTCCGCAGTGTTCAGGAATTCGAATCGGTCTTTGGAAGCATCACATCTCTCAAAAGCCTGGATTTCCTCCTTGGATTCACTTGTGTTTTTACAATTTTTTATGTTACCAGGTCAGGCCCCCACTGAGCTATATTGCTCTTTTTCTGAAGCGACCTGGCCACAAATGATAGCTCAACGAAGTGGCTTATCAAGTGCAAATTTATAGCAGCCAGATGATCTAAATATGGAGGGAAAAACCCGAGGACCCGGAGAAAAATCCACGTGACCACCGGGAGAACATGCAAACTTGTCCACGATCCACCATTGCTCTGAGTACATCAATTTTGGACATTGGCTGCCCACATCATTGTTTGTTTTCGCTACCGTATGCCACGCGCTGTTCATCTGCCATGGTTCTCTGTTGCCCGTGCGACCCCCGCTGCGCAGAGAGCTTGCCGCCCGGCGACGCATCATTCCGGGAGCGATGCCTGGGCTGGGATGGCGGCGATGGTGAAGGGATGTGGGAGAGGGAATCCATGATGGCCATTGAGAGGGGGCCCAGACCCCCTCCCCTGCTTTCACGTGACCCTCAGGACGGCGCGTCCAAAGAGTTCATCCGGGAGCCTCTGGATAGAGAACGGTGCGAGCTTCGCATGGCAAAATGGACGATGTTGTCATTTACACGGGATGCCGCCATGGTACAATGGTTGGCATGCTTGCATGCACTTGTAGGTCAGAGGTTGCCACTTCGATCTCCTGGTGAGGCAAATTAAATAATGTCTCCAGATTGTTAAAGCCCTCCTGTCATGTCGATCGCCGGCACGCGTATGTCGGGGTAAGGTGGGTAACTTCTACCTCTTCCAAGATGCCTGGCCAGCGTGGAGGAGTAGGCCGGGCACCCTAGAGCGGGGCTCTCCCGAGCTCGCAGTCGTGGAGGCCATAACCTACCACTTATGCAGATTTTTTTGCATGAAAAACTTAGATTTAGGCCATAGGAGCGAACAAACTTATAGAATCGGGATTCTATTTTCAACTCTTTTATTTTACCAGCTAAGGCCCACTGAGCTATATAGCTATTTTTCAGAAGCGATCTGGCCACAAATGATAATTAAACCAAGTGGCTTATCACATGGAAATTTAAAGCAGCCAAATACACTTAAACGCACATTGTTTCTAAACGTGGAGGGGAAAAACCGGAGCATCCAGAGAAAAATCCACGCAACCACAGGGAGAACATTTACAGGCTTCAGGGTTGGGATTGAACCCACAACCTCCTGCATTCCAGAGAAAGGTAATTAACATATCGCCACCGTGGCGCAGATAAAAACAACCGGACACAATACAAACGAGATGGTGAACACGACATACGAAAGTGAATTGAATCACGCCGACGAATCGTGACGGTTCGTCAACATTACTAACAATGCTTGCGGTATGCACCCCAATCGAGAACGCTTCTTCCTTCGGCCGGGTGGCCTCGGATATCCGGAAACAACACCAACACGCCTGACTTGCTGTTTCATTTTGCGGGGCTGCGCAGGTTGCCTCTGGGGCAGCCGGGCAACTACATGAGCTACGCCGAACGGAGGGCTGGACCCGAGCGCCCCACGTACGAACGAAAGCCGTTCGAGCCCATGGCACCGCCGTACCCAGGTGACGAGCAAGAGTCCTGATTTGCGGAGGGGGCGGCCCCGCTTTTGCCGATAAGGCATCATCAGTATGAGGGCCGCCACACATTTGAAGCCATTGGGGGTTTGACAGCAGCACGTTGATGATGATGATGGGGGGGGGGGCCGCACATCAGGGGCCTCACTAAAGGCCACCAGGGGCCACCAGTGGCCCTCGGTGTCCCTCGGTGTCTTGCAATGAAGAACACTGGTATAAATGACGTCCCGCATGTCTCCTTTATTGTGTTACTGAGGCTACTGAAACCTTGGAGCAGCGCAAAAAGTCAACGATTTCCTGCTTAAATTATCATTAAATTGGTGTTTTTTTTAATCTCCCGCTGCTTACAGCCCTGAGCCTGTGGTGGAAATTCCACATTGCTCTGGTGGGGGCGAGGTCATCCATTGGACAACCGCTGTTGACTTCCCCATTAAAGTGATGATCATTGTATCGTCCCCAGAGGGGATGATGGCTAGTCCAAGCCAACCCTCAAGTGGGATCTGAACTCGCAACGCCCTGATGGCGAGCCGCTCGCTCAAACGCTGAGCCACTTGACCCAAGGGTACAACCGATGCATGTGTGACCAGATTCGAATAACTTTATTGGCACTGGGTACCAGCCAGTCAACAACTTTATTGCCACCACGAAGCCACTTCCAACCGTTATTGTATTCTCCAGAATATAGCATGCACTTTTTACCCAGCGTCCACTCTTGTTTCGTAACTTTTACACCCTTGTTTGCTGCTTTTCCGGGACGTTGGATTGATTGAAGAAAAAAATATAAAAAAATAAGCAGAGTTTGTGTACGTCTCACTTTCCGGAGTATCTTATCGTCTAGATAATACGGCAATAGAGCACTTTGCATGGTTGTTCACATTTGTTCTTAACAAAAGCCTTTGTGCAGTGTTCATCAAAACCTAATTTCTGGCAGGACGCGTAATATAATTAGCTTGTGCTGATGGGCCACGTACCGTCCTAGTGTCACTCGTATAGTCATCGTGATGTCACTTGCTTGCCCCTTTAGGCTCCCTTAGTTTATTTAATTCGGTGTAGACCAGTTCCACTGAGACTCATTTCTCATTTTGTCAACTCTCGTCACTGTGCGCCATAATCGATTGGCTATTGATCGCGACCGAGCTTTCCACATGTAAACAAGTACAAAAATGTAGTACCCTGAACTCTTGGATTTCCAGGACTATATTATCCAGTGGCACTTGTTTAAGCATTGCAACTGTGAAACGGTTTTGACCTGGTTAATATTGGTCTGGAAGCCCAAAAGGACGATGGACTATAGCATATTTATTTTCCTGATGAAACAGAAAAAGAGGAATTCTACTTATGTATCTTACACACTGCAGCACAGCGACACGTAATTAGTTTGTATACTCGACTTTAATTAAAATGCAAATTAATTGAAATATATACTTAGATGCCAAACGCTTAGAGCCTCGATAAAGGAACTGTATTTGTCGGTCGTTCAAAATGTACGGCATAGGTACCTGGGCGTGCTGCTAGCCACCCACCCTACAGTGAGGGAAAAAAGTATTTGATCCCCTGCTGATTTTGTACGTTTGCCCACTGACAAAGAAATGATCAGTCTATAATTTTAATGGTAGGTTTATTTGAACAGTGAGAGACAGAATAACAACAACAAAAATCCAGAAAAACGCATGTCAAAAATGTTATATATTGATTTGCATTTTAATGAGGGAAATAAGTATTTGACCCCTCTGCAAAACATGACTTAGTACTTGGTGGCAAAACCCTTGTTGGCAATCACAGAGTTCAGACGTTTCTTGTAGTTGGCCACCAGGTTTGCACACATCTCAGGAGGGATTTTGTCTCACTCCTCTTTGCAGAACTTCTCCAAGTCATTAAGGTTTCGAGGCTGACGTTTGACAACTCGAACCTTCAGCTCCCTCCACAGATTTTCTATGGGATTAAGGTCTGGAGACTGGCTAGGCCACTCCAGCACCTTAATGTGCTTCTTCTTGAGCCACTCCTTTGTTGCCTTGGCCATGTGTTTTCGGTCATTGTCATGCTGGAATACCCATCCACGACCCATTTTTAATGCCCTGGCTGAGGGAAGGAGGTTCTCACCCAAGATTTGACGGTACATGGCCCCGTCCATCGTCCGTTTGATGCGGTGAAGTTGTCCTGTCCCCTTAGCAGAAAAACACCCCCAAAGCATAATGTTTCCACCTCCATGTTTGACAGTGGGGATGGTGTTCTTGGGATCATAGGCAGCATTCCTCCTCCAAACACGGCGAGTTGAGTTGATGCCAAAGAGCTCCATTTTTGTCTCATCTGACCACAACACTTTCACCCAGTTGTCCTCTGAATCATTCAGATGTTCATTGGCAAACTTCAGACAGGCATGTATATGTGCTTTCTTGAGCAGGGGGACCTTGCGGGCGCTGCAGGATTTCAGTCCTTCACGGCGTAGTGTGTTACCAATTGTTTTCTTGGTGACTATAGTCCCAGCTGCCTTGAGATTATTGACAAGATCCTCACGAGTAGGTCTGGGCTGATACCTCACCGTTCTCATGATCATTGCAACTCCACGAGGTGAGATCTTGCATGGAGCCCCAGGCTGAGGAAGATTGACAGTTCTTTTGTGTTTCTTCCATTTGCGAATAATCGCACCAACTGTTGTCACGGTCTCACCAAGCTGCTTGGCAATGGTCTTGTAGCCCATTCCAGCCTTGTGTAGGTCTTTAAGGGTGTGCTCCTTATCTCAGCTCGTTACCTGTATAATAGAGGCCTGGGAGCCAGAAATCTTTCTGATTGAGAGGGGGTCAAATACTTATTTCCCTCATTAAAATGTAAATGAATTTATAACATTTTTGACATGCGTTTTTCTGGATTTTTTTGTTATTCTGTCTCTCACTGTTCAAATAAACCTACCATTAAAATTATAGACTGATCATGTCTTTGTCATTGGGCAAACGTACAAAATCAGCAGGGGATCAAATACTTTTTCCCTCACTGTACCTCGTGTGCCGTACCGGCCTTCATAGGTGATCGTTAACAGCACTTGCTCCTCCAGTTTGTTCAGGCTACACGGGGGATCTTTGGAGAGGGAGAGAGGTACGTTTGTATGTTGAACTTCTTTCGCACCCGTACGTAGCCCCGACCACGCCAAATCGGAGGTGCGGAAAAAGAGCCTCGACTCAAAAGCTCCACTTTTGTGTCCCGTCTTCAGGGGAGCACTACCAGGACCGGCCGCCCATGCCGTTCTCGCGCGATCGACCCCCGTATCCGCCCAGCCGGATGGGACCCCCGGACAGGAGGATGGGGGTGCTGCCCCCGCCGCCGCCACCCTCGTCGCTACCGCCGCCGCCGATGGCCCCGCCGCCGCCAATGCCGCACGTGGAGGAGAAGAAGCCGGAGTCGAAGCACGTGGATGACCTGCTGAAGAAGCCGGGACGCGCCACCCGCCCGGAGCGCGTGAGTGTGACTCCTCCTGCCCCCCCCCCGGCACGCCGGGTCTCACTGCGAGCCCACGTCTCTTCTCCGTTGCAATACATTATTCACCCATTAATTTATTCGTTTTTTTTTCATTTGTCAAACTTACTTTACCAGTTAAGGCACACCGAGCCTTATCGCAACTGCAATCGCAGTTTGCAGAATGTTTGTCTAAACTACTAAACTAAACTATTTTTATTTCACCAAGTAAGGCCCACTGAGCTGTATAGCTCTTTTATCTTAACCTGGCCACAGGTTACGACGTGGCTCATCACGTGGACATTTCTCGCAACCAAATATTTTTCATCGCATGTTGATTCTAACCTGTAAGGTGAACCAGGTGGGGGAGACCATTGAGTGCACAAGTCCCGATGGAGACCCGAGTCGCAAAGCAGTGGAATCATTGGTTTCCACGCCGGTGCCCACTTCGTCGTCCTTTGCCGCGTTGGGCGGTCTTTCCTCATTTGCGTATTAATTCACAAGATGTTCTTTAAAATGTGGTGAGTGCCCATTCCGATAAGGTTCATTCGACCCAGGAAAGCCTCGCTGAATCTCAAGACTTCTCTTTTTTTCAGGAGGATCCGGCTAAGTTTCACACGAGGGAGGAACGATTGCAATTAGTTTTTTTTTTTCCAATTATCTCAAATATGCGCATTTTCGGTTCATGTTCAAAACGTCCATTATTGAAGGGAGGCTTTATTGACAAAGCAGTTGCGTCAGTTGACGTATAAACTAACCGTTGAGACACTACTGAAAATCGCGCAACAAAATTAAATGTTTGGCAGGTAACAAAAGAGTTAACCAGCATCAACTCAAATTTAACCATTAGTTTATTATTTTACTAGGTGAGGCCCACTGAGCTATACAGCTCTTTTTCAGAAACAACCGGCCCACAAATGATAGCTCAACGAAGTGGCTTATCACGTGGAAATTTATAGTAGCCAAATTCTCTTAAACGTACGTTTCTAAATGTGGAGGGAAAAACCAGAGGACCCGGAGAAAAATCCATGCGACCGCAGGGAGAACATGCAAATTCCAGATAAACAGGCTTCGGGGTCCGGATCGAACCCACAACCTCCTGTATACTAGGTGAGGTAGTTAACATCTCGCCACCGTGGGACTCAAGCAAGCCTGACTCTGCTGATGAGACACTGTGTGTTGAAGCCGGTCCAGAGATTGCTTGCCTTGAACCAACACTGCTAAAAATATACACTCCCAGAAGGCAGTGCGGCAATGATGGGTTGTGTAAGAAATAGTTTTGTTTTGTATGTGGACAGACGGGTACAGTACCCCGATTTTGCGTCTCCTTTTACGTCGTTTCGCAAATACGTCCTCGCTTTATAACACCGCTGCCCGATTTGCGTCGCCTCAACCCACATACTCGCGTCACTGACGGCAACCTCCGTCGTTTCGCGTATCCCATCACCTCTCAGCCTTCGCCTCCACCACCTACCCTGTAAATTGCTTTGATTGACGTCGTTTCGATATTCACCATCACATCTTTCAGGAACGCATCCCCGACGTAAACCGGGGCATTTATATGAAAGAAGACATTGCCGGAATATTTATTGTCAACAATAGTGTATTGCATTCTAAAATATGGCTTAAATTCCAATAAGGTACGATGTTTAGCTGCATAGAGTATAGTTCAAAAGCATTATATCTGGCCTAAATCAGTATGCACTGCTACACTAAGAGCCGAACCCATTCATTGAGAGTAATGGAATGTTGGTGACCTCAGTCTAAACACTCCACAATGGCTTTATGCTCTTCCTTTCGATATTAGGAAGCCACTGGAGCTATGCACTTTTAAGTCTATTTAAAACTAATTTCTTTAGAACTGCTTTTTGCATTTAGTTTGTTGTTCTTCCCCAGCACGTCCGATTAGCACGCTTGGCTACGTACGGTGCAAAATAAGTTCTTCATACATTATCTTTCGGTTGTGTCGGAGGGCAGCACTGGTTTTTTTTTAAAGTGATTTTACATTGGCACTGCTGCACAGGCACAAATAACAAAGGCTCAATACATTAGTCAATAACACTGCCCTAAAACGAAAATTATATTTTTACGTGAAGTTTCAGACAATGGCCGGTCTTCACTGTAGAAGAGAATGCATGAGAGATATAAATCATCTTTGCATTGTACCGAGTGCTTCCTTGGACACTGTCAGACTTCAACACAGAGTCCCAGTGTTTCCAATTTTCTAATGCTCGGGCGACATCTCCCATGGCCTTCTTTATCCCTTTCCCAATTCCATTTCAATTATGCTATCGGCATCATGTCACAAGATAAAGAAGTGTCCGCTCGGAACTCCCATCGGGCGGTGTGGCACTCCATAATGGAGATAGTGGATCATCCACCATCGAGGATATATCACGGAACCACTTCAAGGGAGTCCTTCAAGTGACCTCTAAAATCTGCAGTCAAGGAAGCCGTACTTTTGGACTCGCCCTACACTTGAGAGATGTTCATCACATGACGGTCAATCCAATGCTTTCATTTCTCAAGTAAGCTGGAATTTAGTCAAATTTCATTGTAGCTCAATGTGATGGGATCTTCGCTGACCAGCCCACTCGGCTATGTCGAGTTTTAATTATTTTTGGTACTGGATGTTTGTGCGGTCATGTGACTCGATGCGGAATTCACAGTGAGTCGCATAAGGGCCCTGTACCACGGCAGCTGTATATTGGATGTATCCTTTACGTGCGCATTCATGTGCTAATTTTCACGAAGGGACTGTGGTCCTGTTGGCCCAGCAGATAATCATATTCACGGGTAAAGAGTTCCACTCTGCTATCCAACATTGGACAATGGATCACATACCCAGGACAACACGCTATGCCTAAAATACATGTTGTACAAGATTATTCATTGCCATCTCAGCAGCTTGCGAGCAACAATTTTTGCGCGAACACAGAAATAAGTAACTCACAATTTATCACCCAAAGCCCTGCCGAGGCAGCACCGCGCAACGGTTCTGTGTAATTTCGCCGCAACAGGCATCGCTGTTATTCATACACCACACAGAGCCGGGCGTCCCGTTATCCGTCAAAGTGAAACGTAGCCATCGTCCCGCAACGGCAGGTCCGGAAGCCGCGGTGGCACACGTCGAGTTGTTCTGTTTGCCACCGAGTCTCAAGCGCACCTCTCGTTTCAGATCGTGGTGATCATGCGAGGCCTTCCCGGCAGCGGCAAGACCCACGTCGCCAAGCTCATACGGGTGAGTGTGATTCCCCCCCCCCCCCCCCCCCCCCCCCCCGGTGCATGGAGAGAGAGAGAAAACCCGTTGCAGCCATACGTAACCTCGTCGCCGCATGGCGTCCGACGTTTCGCGCCGCGCGCCTGGAGCTTCTTCGGCACTTGGGACAAGCACGCGGCGCAAACCCCAAAACGCGTCGGAGGGCCTGGTTACGTTTGTTCGCGTCAGGTTAAATTATGCCGCTCGTCTTGACCGCTCGTACAGGCTAAAATTGTGGCTCAAATATACTGGAAGTTGTACGTGTGTACGTTGAACTTCTTTCCCACCGTACGTAGCCAACCATGCTAATCGGAGGTGCTCGCTAACGAGCCGTATAATGTTGAGGCGATACGGGGGGGGGGGGGGATTTTTGTCGGTGCATGCGTGCATTCATGCCTCCACAAAGCAAATTAGAATGGGTAGTTTAAGAGCTTGTAGATTATAAACATTTACAGGCTACATTGAAGGCTCATAATGTACACACTCAGTGCAAAGTTTGGTGCGATGTGTCGTGCTACAAAATAACACAATGATGTGAAAATAATTTTTAAAAAATGACAAGACAGTACAATTAGATATTAATAGCGCCAGCCAAGCACCCATTGACAGCACCTGCCGTGCACAGCACTTGTCCCGACAGATTTTCTCGGCTAATTGGAGGATGCCTTTGCTGTGATGGTCCTCGCAGGATAAGGAGGTGGAGGAGGGAGGCGCGGCGCCACGCGTGCTCAGCCTGGATGATTACTTCGTCACCGAGGTGGAGCGCACGCAGACTGACCCGGAGACCAAGCGCAAAGTCAAGAAGAAGGTTGGCCAGTTTTTTTTCCTGCACCAACAACAACAGCAACAACAACAACCGCCGTTCGCTACCAAGTGGCGATGACGGCACCACAGCGCTTGTGTCTTTGCACTTTGAGGCGACGTGAAGTGTCGAAGGTTCTCTGGCAGGAGGTCACGGGACAGACCCAGGTGCTATTGGTTGACCGATTGAGACTCAAGCGCACCCTTTTTTGAGTTCCCTCCTGGTTAAACAAAATATACTTGAATCAACAGGAATGGCATTGATGCCTATCGGCAAGTGGCCGGATGACTTTGTGGTAAGTTCAAGCCACCAAGCCAATTGAATAATAATCATAATACGGATTTAGTACCTTTGCTTTCGGTCCACATGCTGGCAGCTCCCAGCACGTGGAGCGAAATGTCGGACTTTGTGCCTAACACCACACAGCGGTACAACCCGAAAAAGACATCGGGGGGCCGTGCAGCAAAGATCCCCCGTGTTGTCTCAACATACTGGCGGGGCAAGTACTTTTAGCGAGTAGCACCTATGAACGCCCGCACGGCACACGAGGGGGGTGGTGGGTGGGCTCCCGAGTGGCAATGTTTGCACGTCGCGCTAGGTGCTCGTTTGAGGCTGAGGCGACTTAGGGGCCGCGCGGCACAATGCCCACAGCGGTGGCGTTGCGTGTCTAAACTACTAAACTAAAACAAATTTTTATTTTGACAGGTAAGGTCCACTGAGCTAATTAACTCTTTTTCAGAAGCGACCTGGCCACAAATGACAGCTCAATGAAGTGGCGTGTCGTGTGGAAATGTATTGCAGCCAAATACCCTAAACGCTTGACGTTGATTCTAATTGTGGAGGGAAGACACTGAGGACCCGGAGAAAAATCCACTCGACCACGGGGAGAGAGAGAGAGAAAACACGCAAACTCCAAATATACAACAGGCGTCGGGGGTCGGGATCGAACCCACGACCTCCTGTATACCAGGTGAGGTATTTAACATCTCGCCACCGTGTCGCCGCCACAGGTCATGGAGTACGAGTACGAGCCGGAGATGGAGGAGACGTACCGCAGCAGCATGCTCAAGACGTTCCGCAAGACCCTGGACGATGGCTTCTTCCCCTTCATCATCATTGACGCAATCAACAACCGCGTCAAGCACTTCGAGTCCTTCTGGAGCTCCGCCAAGACCAAGGGCTTCGAGGTGCGGTGACGTAGAGCCGTGCCGGATTCTGTGGTCTCGAGGGTTTACGAAAATGTTATGAATGGGATGGGCAATTGTGGGAGCGTTGTTATTAATTTCTCCTATAATATTTGTTGTTTTTTTAACAACACATCTAGAGCAATAAAGAACTCGGCAGTTAACACTATTAGTTGAGCTTTTAATTATTGGATTAAAGATACAAGTGGTAAACATTTTAATTTCCTTTTCGGTTATATGAAAGTGTTTTAATCTTGGGATAGTGCGTATTAAAATAAAACGCAAGGCTATTTTGTCTATTCGAATAAGTTGAGCTATTTCTCATTCTTAACGGAAACCCAGTATGTGTGTGTGCACGCGCAATATCTTTCTTTTGATGCGCCGCGCTTGAAACTTCACAGCTGTCCACAGTAAGACGCTGCCCCTCAAAGTTTTCCTAAGGCCGACGCTGCCAAGGTCCAGGACACGGCGGCATGCTCACATGGATGTTTGCGTGCGATGCCCTCCGCTTGTTCACCAGGTGTACTTCGCCGAGATAACCGGGGAGACGCACACGTGCGCCAAGCGGAACACACACGGCCGCAAACACGACGAGATCAACAAGGTGAGTGCCCCCCTATTAGTAACGAATAGCGCTCGTGTAGGGCACTGCGGCGGGGAGGGGGGAGCCTCTTAATGCCTTCGTGTACTCGGGGATTTGGGCAGCGCACCAGTCGGTAGAAGGCATCGATGGCGTGGGAACAAGCTCCTTCACCACCGCGGAGAAGGAGTGGCGATTTTGGGCCGGTGAACACACGCTCACTGCTGGACGGTTACGTAGCAGGATCCGTGAGAGACGGGGGGAGGGCTTGGGGAGGACTTCATCCAGTGGTGGATGACGGGGCTGACGCTGGCATTGATATTCGCATTGTTTTCAATTTGTGCTGAATTGTAGTTGGCCCCGAATGTGGACAAAGTGATCGTGAGTGACAGTTGCCCATCCAAGTACTATCCAGGCTCCACTTTGCTTAGCTTACGAAATCTGACAACGTTGGGTGCGTTGCGGGTTGACGTGGCCCAGCGGTGGCGCTTTCGCCGCTTGTTGCGGAGGTTTCGCGGTTTGAATCTAGCGGCCGCCATGGTTAATCCTGCAGGGTGTATTGACCACAGTAATACCACGCGCTGCCTTGCTTTACGGTGGACCTTAAAGATTCCGTGACGTCGTTCGCAAGATATTAGGCCACCGCCCTCGTGCCGGCGTCATGCTCCAAATTTGTAGCCCTCGTTCCTACCCACAAATCGCTCAATTTGGATTGTACGTATTTCGAGTTTCTCACCGTACGTAGCCAACTGTACTAATCGGAGGTGCATATTATACATAACAATCATCAGCCTTGTAGTGCGAAAACAGGGACCCCCCCTGAAACAAGTATCACCAGACTCAGCAAGGCTCTCCTGGGTGGGGGGTTAAACAAGCGCAATGAAACGAACCAAAAAAATGGAACATTAATCATCTCCATGACTCGCGTCACGCATCGTCACGCGCTTGGTGTGCGGTCCCGCGTGTCGTCGCCGCCGCCGCCGCCGTCCGCTCGTTCAGATGGCCGATCAGTGGGAGGTGACGCCCAAGCACATGATTCGTCTGGACATCCGCTCGCTGCTGCAGGACGCCGCCATCGCGGAGGTAAGGTGGCTTGCGACCGACGAACGCCAACGTCCTCAACGCACCAGGGTGCCCCCCGCCCCTCCTCCTCCCCCCACCTCCCTCCTCCCATCCCTCCTTCCCCGGCTGCTCGTCCTCCGTTCCCCCAACGTGCGGGCTCTTTTTTTACCCTCGTCATCTCAAGTCGAGAGCGTTTATGCGTGAGCATTCGTAACCCCAACGGCGGGGGAGGCAAGATATCTCTCGTAAAGGCGATCCGTGATGGCCGTCTGGAACACTCTTCCGCCCGTGATAGTTTGAATAAACCATCGCGTGAACTTCGGTCATCCTCGCAAGTGGTGGTTTTCGGCTAGCCATCGAACAAAGACGGTCACCGCATCGCGCGCTTTCAGATGCGCCTCTGCGGCCGTTTGGAGCGCTCTTCCGCCCAGTATTACGATGTTGGTCGTGGTCGACGATCAAACACGGTGTTTGTGGGGTTCATAGCGCAGCAGCGCCAGCCACGGTTGACGTGGGCCCTTGGCACGGTAGCTCCTTCGCCGCCTGTTGCAGACGTTCGCGCGCGGTTCATATTTCAGCAGCCGACCCTGGTTAACCCTACGGGTGCATTAACCGTAAACGCGCACTGTCTGCTTCACAGTGGACGTTAAACATCCCGTGATGTTATTTGAAAAAAGAGTGGGCCCATGTGTGCCATTGTAAAGGCCCAAATTTGAAAATGTACTCACAAATTACCTGATTTTTGAAAAACGATGTAGCAACATCGTCCCTGCTGTGAAAGAGCCTGAAAACTAGACATGTCTATTTCAAACCGAAACAGGAGGAGGATTTCTCCACAACTCTGGCTGTGTTGCCTGATGAGGCTGGTTGTAATTACCGGCGAAACGTTGTACTCGAAGTACTCTAATTGTAAATGTTGTGGGTTTACTCTCCAACCCATGGATGTGCTGAACTAGTAACGAATTGGGATGTTTCGTTGACAAACCTTTCCAATTGGCTGTCGGGTGCAGGCGGGTTTAACGACACGTTTATACGTCCTCGATCTAACCCCAAAAAAATCTTTGATGGATGATATTGGTCGCGAAAGCCTACGTGTTAAACTATACCCGCCTGTGAAACATAGCACCTTGGCTATAGCCTTGCGCGGATCTCAAACGTACTGACGATTTTATGATTGTTTTTATTTGGTTGGCGCGGCCACCCCACCTCTTGATGCGTTCATATCCAGGTGGAAATGGAAGACACGGATCCTTCAGAAGAAACCGAGAGCAAGAAGACGCCACCAACGACTGAGGAGGAGGAAGGGGATGGGGAGGGGGTAGGAATGCTACACTAGTTCACGTGCACTCACAAACAAAGATCTCCCCGTATGGCCTTAATAGACCGTTGGGGCGAGTGCTGTTAGCGAGTAGCGCCTAATGAAGGCCGGAACAGCACATGAAGGGGTGGGTGGCCAGCATCATGCCCGGCCACACTTTGTCTCCTGAGTGACGATGCTTACACACACCACCATGTACTCATTTGAAGCTGAGTCGACCTAGGGAAGGCCCAGGACTGGTTCAGATAATCGTCACTGTTGTTGGCTGTGAGCGGGAATCGAACTCTGGTCACTGAGTTCATAGTGCAGAGCGCTAACCGCTACACACACACACATACGAGCGCATGCAGTCCGTCTCTCCACATGACCGCATCCTGTAAAGGTTGCGCACCACAGCCATAGCTCTTTAACTCCAACGCTCAAACTGCAGGCGCGTGCACTCCACGTTTGCTTCTCGGTCAGAATCTGCCGTAGGTGTGCGATGTCACCGGCGTGACCTGAACGTTCGGCGAGGCACGGAAAGATGCCGTGTTGTGGGTCGCGACGATTGTCAGTTCAGAACCCGCAGCATTGACAGACAATTGACCTGCCATGCAACGGGGGGGGGGGGGGGGGGGACGCAAGTAGTTTTAACTACGATGTACGAAATCACCTAATCAGAAAATGTTGCTTGTTCTCTACGTATTATGATTATTGTTCGACGGATTCATTAACCGAAACGAGTTGCACTGATGATCGTCCTGTCTCGGCCACAAACGTGCGGTTGTGTAACTCGACCAGGACACGTGGGGGCTGCAAGCTCGCTTAAGTACCCAGGCCGATGGTTGGCAGTGGCGCACTCAGTGTCGGGTTGACTGTCCAGTTTGTCTTCTGTAAAGTAAACCGTAACTGCTAGCGGCCGTGTATCTTTTAAGTTCGACGTACATAATCAAATGGTCAAGTTCAGTTATCTCTCTCCTGCTCACTAGAGCATTGAGGCGGGGGGGGGGGGGGTGGGGCTCATCTCAGTTGGGCCCCCCCCAACCCCTCTTAGCCATTGGTGGAAATTCCTTATTCCCATGGTTAGATGGTTAGGGACCAGTCTTGTCCACAGAATGGATGGGCGCACGGTAGGCATTCTACCGAGTAGTTAATAAGTTTTACCGATTCCGCAGCGTTGATGGACTGACTAGACACCCCTCCCTACCCAAACACCCCCCCCCACCATCACAATCTGAATTTGCAGCTGTCTCCAACTTTGCAGCTCTTCACTGCGAGAGCCACCCGGGCGGGCTAAAACTGTGTTCGCTGATATCACGCTTTGCTTGTGTTCATAGATATTACGGTGTGTGTGGAGTCGTCGTCTCTTTTCTGTATGTGTAGATTACGTGGCCCAACTAATGATATACCAGCCTCGCGACGTGCCACTCTTTGAGCGGTGGCTTGCGATATTTTAGTTTTTTTCATGGAAAAATTTAAACGTTCGGAGCAAACCGATCAATCGGTGTATCGTCTCGGTGGTCTTTTGTCATTCGTCTGCCCTGTAAAAGTATTCTTTTTTTTTACGTAGTGTTACACAATATGCTGTACATTTACAACGAAAATATTTTTTATGGCATTACTGGTTTAATGTTATGCTGTTTATATGCACTCCTATCATGTTCTGTGAATGTTAGAAATTAGCGTCGCACTGTGTAAATTACCACCGGTAACTCTCCACTATGCTTCGCTCCAGTTGCTTACGATATTACATCCACAAAAAAAATCCCCGCCCTCTTTCCCTTGGCATTAATGGCATGCCCTTAACCAAGTCACGCGTATAAACGATGATGGCATGGTGCCGAGCGGGGGGGGCGCAGCGAAGTGGCTGTTGAGGTGGCAGCTTGAGCGAAGCAAAGTGACGACGGAGAGAATGATGTTTGTGCAGGCTTTCGTGTCGTTACTTTTTTTTATATTCCTGTAACAAATCACGCCATTGCTGTGTGTTAACAAGGAAAGGTTTTTTCCTGTCTGCAATTCAGGGGTATATCCCAAAAAGCAAATGGGAAATGGACACCTCTGAAGCAAAACTAGGTACGTGTTATACTCGTTCTCTCTCTAACGTACCTGCCCCGCCTAAGGGGGGCTACCGTCTGAATGTTGAGTGCTTAGAGACATTCAAGGAAGTATACTTAAAAGAGTTTACTGCCGTATTCCCAAACGTGAGACATGGGTTACTCTCCGATATGGGCTGCCAGGGTTAGCCGCGCGATGCTTTCTCATCCGTCGCGGGCACACCTTGATTTTTTATTCTGTGACCACGGGTGGAGATGCTTGGAGTTGTGGCATTCCATCGATGCGAACGATAGCATTTCCCAACGAGTCTGGGTTGGTACTGGCATGGAAAACTGCCTGCGGGGATATCGGGCGTTAATTGGCTGGGTTGCAGCTCGGTGTCCCGGAGATGACAGCACAGCGGTTGGGTTCACTCCACGGAGAGATTCGATGAGTTGGAAGTGTTTGCTGTGTTTCAAATGTTAACCCCCCCCCGCCCCCCTCTCTTGTGCGTGGGTTTTTTATTTATTTATTCTGGATACTCCAATAGTCTGCCACGTGCCAAATGCTCAGTAATGGAATTGGCCAAAAATCCCAATGTGCACACCCGCGTCTTCCGTGAGCCTTTTCTACAGATATATATCTACCGCATTCACCGAATTATAAGAAATGCTTTATTTCACCCCAATATTTTAAGTCGGAAAGTTTTAGGGGTGCATCTTACCTTCCGGAGCGTTTTTTTGCAACCCAGAGAAACACGCTAATTTATCGGCAGCTTCCGCGCAACGGCAGCGCGCCCTCCGTCCGGAGGTGACGACGCTCTGGTCAGTCCCATGAAAGGATCAGTAACCCCCGTTTCCTCACGAGAGTTTGCCTGTTGAGAGGCAGAGGCACGCACTCTGCCTCCGTGTCGCTGTGAACGCGTCGACCGCGCTGCTTGTAACACGGCAGGCTCTCGAGGAGAGCCCCCTCCCCCCCCCCCCGCACGCGTGCTCGATTGTGTGTGTGTGTGTCTGTATTTATGTTCAACTTCGCTCGCGCCGTACGTAGCCAGCCGTGCTCGTCGGAGAGCGAGCGATCGAGCGTCGCTCCGAGTACTTCTGCGTGACGCAACAGATGTTTTAAAATAAAGTATATCCGTGGCGAGACCTGGGCCGCTCCTTGCATAGATTGCACAGAAACTGATAGCGCCAAGTTGTTTATGTATCGCTGTCTATCTATTCAACTTTTATGCTATTTAATAATAATAAAAGTAATTTTTTCTTAAAATGCTTAAATTGTAGGTTTTGTTCATCGAAAGGGGGGAGAGGGGGGGAGTGCGGTGGGTCCCCGAGCTGACCCAGTCGCGTAGAACACGGGTCGGCACTGAAGCGGAGTTAATGCTCGGTTTAGCCAACGGAGGTTCAGCTGTCCAGACCGTTAGGCCACATAGGTGTGGGTCCCCCTTTCCCGAGTAGCTACAGTGGTGATGCTGGTGGGCTTGGTCAAATATACGGTTCATTTCCCCATGTAACGCCTGCCTGTCGAGATCCGATCTAGACACGGACGTCTGCTGCCCAATTCAAAACGGAGCACGGTTCAGCGTTAAGAGTGTACGTGGCCAAAAAAGACATCCTGCTAAAATAATTATTTAGTGTTGTTAAGCCATGCAATGGAACGTGTTTTTATCGGGGTGCATGGAACAGTGCAGCGCCCGTCGGTGTGAATAAGAGAGCACTGGAAGGGATTTCAGAGGTGGTTCTGTGATATCACCTTCTGTGGGCCATTCTTCAGCAGCGGGGGTCGCTAACTAGTCTGCGGGAGTTCTGAATGGACACGATGCCAGTAGCGTAAATGGAATAAAGTTGGGGGAGATTGTGAAACTTTCTTACAGCAGAAGCTGAATATGAGCACAAGGCCATGTGTGCTCATATCTTAAGTAGTGTGCTTGTATCAGAAGTCACCCGTTACTTTCTCCCCACCAGTATAATGTAAGGGTGTGTTGCGTATTTCGGAAATGTGCTTATGAATTTTACTTGCCACAGTTTTTGGCTGCTATAAATTTGCACGTGATAAGCCACTTCTTTGAGCTATAATTTGTGACCAGATCGCTACTGAAAAAGCTGCATAGCTCAGTGGCCCTTAGCTGGTAAAATACAAAAAAAAGTTTTTTATGCTCTGTTCCACCAAATGGGTTTGGATTTGTGCATGGTACATCCAAATATATATATACGCAGCAGAGTAAACCGCCAGAGACGTTTTGAGGGTGCAGTTCCCACGCGTGCGTTCGCCTATCTGACGTACGGCGCTGACAACGCGTTGCCCCTCTGCGTTCAGTCTCCAACGCGGGCGTGCAGGCGGCAGCGGCGGCGATGATGACGATGGCACGGGAGCGCGTTGACTGACGCGCTGCTCTCCCCCCCCCCCTTCGTCCCTTTATCCGACGCCGCGTCCCTCAGATAAGCTGGACGGACTCGGCGGAGGCTGCAAGAGGAAACGCGACTCGCTGACCTCGGCAAAACAGCGCATGGAGGATTACCTCTCGCTGCCCGAGTACTTCAGCCAGCGCCCCGCACAGCCGGGGAAGAAACGGGTGAGGCTCCTCCGTTGCACGCGCCCCCGTTTTTAGTTGTTATTTTTTTTTGCGTCGTTGGTTTGTTTTCGATGCAGTAAGTGAAACCCCCCCCCCGTTCCAATTCCATTCCAATGAAGTGTGTGTACACTGCTATCAAAACGAAACCGGAAGAAAAACTCAAAAAAATTATTTTATCGGTACCGAGGCTCCCACAAGGCCATGCCGGAAAGACATGTGGCGCAATTTGGTGCCAGCTATCGTAGAGTGGCGGTCGAGTCGCTACAGTTATCTGCGGTGAGTAACAACGTCTTCAAAAACAACGGCACTACTACGCCTCTGTGAATAAAATTAACGCAGTGCCGCTTGCGTGTTCCAAGTTTCAGAGGTGAACGGGGGACACCCCACCCTGCAACTTGCAGACGTATCTCGTAACGGGAAAGGGTTAATATTCGCGGCTTTTCATGATCGCTGTCATGCGTATTAGCGACAATTACCAGGGAGTGCTGTTTTATTCATTAGCGGGGTTGTATTTTAGATGTTCGCGGCCGTAGCGCACTACTGGCCGAGAAGAGAGTTGCGAGGTAGCCGCTCTTTTTCACGCACGAGACAATTTTATACTAGAAAATATATTTCCATGATAGAGGTTTTTTTGGGCAAGGTCGCGTAAATATAAATGTGTCGTGAAACCCGCCACCACCCTACACAGCCAATTGGTAAGGTTTTTCGTGTTAACAAAGCGTGCCATTTCGTTACTAGTTCAGCACACCGGTGTATTGGAAAGTGAACCCACAACATTTACAATTTGAATACGACGTTTCGCCGGTAATTACAACCGGCATTTAAATTTATGCGAGCTAACCCATAATATTGGTCGCGAAAGCCTAATGCTCTCAATGTATATAATGTATGTTGAGCTTCTTTCGCTCCGTTTGTAGCCAACCGTGCTAATCGTAGGTGTGGCGGAAAGACAACAAATGAAACACAAAAAGCAGTTCTCAAGAAATTAGTTTTTCAATCTAGGTGATTTAAAAATGCGTAGTTCCATCGGAGACTGAACACCTGGCCCCATAAGTGGGCGTGAGTCTTGCTAGCGGGGGGGGGAGATGATTGCCTTGCGTCTTCCCCGATTGTGAGTGACTTCCGCGTAACGTTTAAAATTTCACAAAAAAAATGGCCTGCTCGTTTCGAACCACATTGTGGGACCTTTAATCTCCACTGTGAAACGGACGGCGCGTGGTATCGTTGTGGGTTAACACACAGCACATGAATAACTTAACCATTTAAAACTTTTTATTTTACCAGGTCAGGCCCACTGAGCTATGTAGCTTATTCTCAGAACCGACCTGGCGACAAATTATAGCTCAGCGAAGTCGCTTATCACGTGGAAATCTATAGCAGCCAGATACACGTTGATTCTAAATGTGGAGGGAAAAACCGGAGGGTCCAGAGAAAAGTCCACTCGACCACGGGGAGTGAGACACGCAAACTCCAAATATACAGCAGGCGTCAGGGTCGGAATCGAACTCGCGACCTCCTGCATACCAGGCGAGGTAGTTAACATCTCATAGCCACCGTGGCGCCCATAATAACCAGGGTGGCCTGAGGGATTCGAAGCACGAACCTCTGTGACAAGCTGCGAACGCCTGACCAGCGGATCTACGTGGTGACCACGCCGCCCGCCCCCCCCACCCCCCCCCTCCCCCTTGGTGAACACGGTGCTTGCGTTCCCGCAGGTACGCTGGGCCGACCTTGAAGAGCAGAGCGAGGCGGAGAGAAAGCGCGCCATCGGGTTTGTGGTGGGTCAGACGGACTGGGATCGCATCACGGACGAGAGCGGGGAGTTTGCCACCAAAGCTCTTAATCGCACTCGATACTTTTAACCGTAAACTCCCGTTAGGTGTTTGCCGACGGCTCTGGGTAAGTGTCTCGCTACCTACGCCGCCTTCACTCCCACCACACCGCGCACACGTTAGCAGACGTCGCCGTAGTCACAGTCCTCTTTAATTCGATGTGAATTTTTCTGATTTTTTTTTGGTGATTGTGTTCGCAATTCCATAATTAGTTTCTGGATGTCGCGAGAAAAATTGTGCCCCTTTGTATGTGTGTTAAACTTATTTCGCACCGCACGCAGCCAACCGTGCTAATTGGAGGTGCGGGGGAAGGACAACAAACTAAAAGCATAAAGCAGTTTTAAAGAAATGAGACAATGGCCAGGTCACCCGAAATGTGCCTGATTGTGGCAAAGCTTGGAAACTTAAGCAGTCTTGAAACTGTATAATGGACGGATGGGCAACCATCATGCATAACAGGTGTTGCAGGCTGCCGGGCTAAGTTGTGGCCAGCAGAGGGCAGTGTAGGAAAAAAAATCCATCGCTGTACTGTGCCATGCTATGCCTGCCTTCACCATCACGCGCTGATCGGCACGGTGAAGTATGGTCAAATAAGCCCCACAAACCCTGCACGGGATGGGGAGGTCTGCATCCAACAGTGGATTGGCATAAGTCCTGTGCACGTAGACCAAAAGACATGTGACACAAGCAAGTGGAAGTTGAAGTCATGTTGCGATGTTTTACCTGTTGATATTCGATAGAAGCGAGATGCAAAACCTTGGCTCTGGCGGTTGATCTGTTCGAGATTGAATCCCTGCTTCTTTGTAAATACGGCCTAGCCTTTGCAGTACAGTAACATGGTTTCTTGAGCTGTGTTTTTTTTTAGTTCTCCGTTGCAAATTGAGTGGGCTTATCGTCTGCGATTTTAACCTTCACAAACGCAATACGGTCCCTTTGCAAAAGCTTGCCCAACAATGCCGACGCAGGGGGAAACCCCCTCGTGCGAACGTAAGGGTTCGCGCACCTGTGACCCGCACTCCAGAGGTCACCACCGCCTCGCTCTGATCGCCCGGCAGCGTGGCAGATGAAACGATGGGGCGAGTTTATTAAATCCCTCCGCCTCAGTCCAGCCGGCCGAATAAGTATGTTCTCCACCGATAAAGTCTTATGATGGGCAGGTTGCGTGTAGTGGGGTAAAGCGTTGGTTCTCTCCCACCTCTGCCAAAAGCATCTGGCCAGCGTAGAAGAGTAGGCCAACCTACCCTCTAGGGGGTTTGTGGTCCTGACCCCGCCCCCGCACCTACGGTTAGCACGGTTGGTTACGTACGGTGCAAAATAAGTTCAACACATACATAGAGCTCTCTCTGCTGAAGGCCCTAATGCCCAAGCAGTGGCTTGAGCAACAAATTTCAGGGCTGCGCTTTTACCTTTTAGTGGACTGCTGATTCAAGTGAACACAACCTCCTGAAAGGTAAAACTGAAAGAGGCGGGAGCAAAAAATGTATGCGGAGTTTCGATGTAACATGGGCTATGATTGTCCATGCTGTGTTGCGCTCTGATACATAATTTAGAAAGTTCCTAAAACACCTTTGCTGGTTTGTGTGAGTCACCCATTGTCTGTTAACACTTGTGACATTTTGGATGTTTTTTATTTCCTTTTAGGTGACCGAGATGGAAGGAAAAGTGGGATGAAAACAAAGTTGCGTCTACTTTAAACAAACGAAAAAATGGACAATTCATTTTCTGCGAAGGAGGCTTTTACATCGTCCCAAGGCCTGCTCTGTAACGAGTTGCATACTTGGTTTGTGGGGGTTTTTAAAATGTGAATTAAATGCTTTCCCGTTTAATTAATCCCATTCGTGAATTTCGGAAACAAAATGTGTTAAAAGGGTAAATTTTCACAGGGCGAAGATGGCAAAACAAAACATCGTTTCTTTTTTTTTACTGTGTAAGCCAACCAACGCTCCCTCCACCGTGCCCTGGCGCGCGCGGTAACACGGAAGACGTGGGACTGTGGATAACGAGCAATCGTGTCGCTCGCGAAGGTATAGTATTCGTTTTTTGGGGGAGTTTTAACATTGAGCAGGCAGTGTCACGTGTTTAAACGTAGTTCCTTGTTGCTGCCTTCGCCAGTTAAGAGTTGGCCACTGGCTCATGCCTTGGAGGTGGTCCTTGATGTTAGTGCGCTGCGCGGGCTTTGATGAATTCTGGCCATGGCGACCGTCGTGAGCGAGTGATATCGGAGCTGGTCCTGCGCTCCCCCCCCCCCCATACTTCACTATGACCTGCATGGCGAGGTATGGTCAAAAAACCTCCATGACCTCCGCATGGCATGGGCGGTAGTCGTTTATCACTTGGTGGATTTACGAATGTCCGGAATTTAATTGTTTGTGCCCTCACTGATACACCGGGGGGGGGGGGGGGGGGGAAGGGGCGCAGCCATTGACATTGGCCGTTGGTTGTTGGCGTTGGAGCGTGCTGCTGCCGCTTCTGCATGGGACTTTGTTGGGCCCTGTTGTGTCCCGCGACCTGTGCGACAGGTTCCATGCGGCGTGACCGCAAACGCCGGCACGCAATTGGGGGGGGGGGAGGTGGAGGTGGGGTGCGACCTCGTGAGATCGTTCACCGCTTTGCTCGAGTGACGAGACGCGCCCGCTGGCAACGCGTTTAAAAGGGCCTTGGGTAAGCAACGTCGGATGAACTGGCTGGACTCTTGATAACTGGATAAGTTGTCACTGATTCTTTTGTTTGCTGCTGTTAGGAGTTACAAAAATGTATGTTTTTCCAAGGTGGCTTGAACTAGTTCAACATCACCTGCATTTCGATTGGTGCACCCCCCCCCCCCCCAAAAAATAAAAAGGCACTGGTTGTAAATCGAATTTAGACGGAGAACATTTTCATATGGACGGTCGTCTGTGCATGGGCATCGAACTTAGAGCTCATCACGTGGCACCCCGCATCGCCACGTCCGCTGCTCATTGCGCCAGGATAAGCAAAGATGAGGATTCGTCACTCGTCGATCAATCGCCCTCTTAAATGATGACGCGTCATAATAACATTTATAAAACGCGTTTCGTTAAGATTAGCCATGTGTGCACCCCCCCCCCCCCCTTGCAGAGTAACTTTCAACTACAGCCCCAATCCCTGCCCAACCGCAGTTTCATAATTTACTTGTCATACACAGGAGTCCATTTACACACACGATGACCATGCGATGCCTTTGGCAAGCTATAGAAGGACGTGTGTGTGTGCGAGCTGGGTTTTTTTATCTACACGTTGACTTGGCGTTAGGCCTCGGCAAGGTAAGGTAATTTACCTTTTTTACCGGGTAAGGGTAAAGGTATCGACATGTCAAGGGGTAAGTTAAAGGGTAGGGTAAAGGTAGCGTGAAGTATTACCCGGTAAATACGGTGCTTTGTTTACTGCTAAAAGCTCCGTGGCGCAGTCCGTGGCCTCCATTTAATAAGTGATATTTTTAAAACTTTTTTTTAAAACACGCTTTTATGAAATTACTAGTAATGGCAGAACTCCACGACTCCAGGAAGTGGCCCCCGAAGCTCGCCACAGCGTAAGGGGCCGTGTGCAATTACAGCCAACGTCAGTTGACAGTGGACAATTAGACCCAAGCCGAAACATAACAAAAAATGTTTAAGAATATTTTATGTTTAATGATAGAATATAGAATTGTCATCAGTATGACATAAGTATACCAAGTTTGCAGTCGAAACCACATTGGGAAGTGGGTTAAAATTGAGTTACAAGATTTGAGGATACAACAACAGTGAGTTTAAAGAAAGCGTGTAAAATTGGAATAATCGAGAGTAGTCTATATGAATAAAGCACTCTACCTAGCATTTACCTGTTATAAACCTTTTTCATGTGTAATACCCCAGTAATTACCCTGTAATCGGGTAATTTGTATGGGGGTAGGGTAAAGGTAGGCTCGTTTTAACCTTTTACCTTACCTGCTGAAGGGTCAAAGGTAGGGTAGAGTGATTGTATTGTGGTAAGGTTAAAGGTAGGCTCGTTTTTACCTTGCCGAGGCCTACTTGGCGTTCCATCCTGTGCTCGTAACATCCGTCGGCGGGGCTCGACTCATCGATATGCTCGAACGCAGCCTGCTGGGTTGGGGCTCACTGGCTCTGGTGCTGCACATCCCATCGGAATGGACACAGTTCCTGGACCCATAACTCCCACCCCCCCAAAAAAACCCCATCCATCACCCTCCAAATAGTCTGCGGTTGGGTTTACAAGTCGGAGATTGTACGAAAGATTTGCGAAGATGGATAAATCCGGTCCCACCCCCCCCCCCCCCCCCCGCGTGTTTTACGCTGGCGACGAGACGAAACGTCGACCGACGATGCACAATGACGGGGACATCTCTCGAGTTATCGCGTGCGACATTGGACGTTGGGGGGGGGGGTGATTTTGTCCGCCGTTACCTGTCGCGTATTCCCAGCGGAAAAAAAAGCCTCGTTTTGTCGTTGAACGTCATTTGATGAGTTGGATCATTTTTTGTAACAAAAAATCTCGCGCGGTTGGTGGTCGCGTGAAATGTTCATGGTGTTGTTGGGGGGGGGGGTGTTGTTTCTGAGTAAGTGCACCGCCGGTGAAGGCCAGGCGAAGCGGTGCACGCAGACTGTGAACGTAAATTGTAAACGCCGCGTGATAAATATAATCCCCGGATCACAGCTGCGCAGTACTCTCTCGTGTGTCATCTGTCGTGTGCGCTGCGCTGGGGTGCTGCTGTACGGCATATTTGTGTGTGTATGTTGAACGTCTTTCGCACCGTACCTAGCCAACCGTGCTAATCGAAGGTGTGGGGGAAGGACAACTTTAACACATAAAGCAGTTCTAAAGAAATGAGTTTTGAATCTAGATTTAAAAGTGCATAGCTCCAGAAGGAAGAGCGTTCCAGACGGCCGCAGAAGCGCCTATGAAAGCGCGCGATGCATTGGTGTCGTGGTCGGCACACTGAACTTGCGATCCAGAGGTCGCCCATTCGATCCGTTCTCCCACCTTTGTGTGGAGGAGTGCGCGGGTTCCATCCCAACCCCTGTATATTTGGAGTTTGTATGATCTCCCCGTGGTCGCGTGGATTTCTCTCTGGATCCTTCCGGGTTTTCCCTCCACGTTTAGAAACAACGTGCGTTTAGAGTATTTGGCTGCTTTGAATTTCCCACGTGATGATATGCCACTCCGTTGTATTATCATTTGTGGCCTAGTCGCTTCTGAAAAAAAGAGCTGCAATATCTTACTCAGTGGGCCTTACCTGGTGAAATCAATAAAAAGAAACACGACGCAGTGAAATAGTTTGGCTGGTTCAGGTCGGTGGACGCATTCCCGGCGGCGGAGGCTGTGCAGGAGCGGAGCCAGGGGGTGGGGGGTGACAGGGGTGACATTCTGCGTATACGTGTACGACACTCGGTCTGGCGGACTCCGTGTAACTGCATTGTCAGAGCGTGTCCGCCAACCGATGGCGTCAAGTTCAACAGCCTGACTCTCTAAATCATTCTTGAAATTAACATTTGTTGAATGTCACCCCGGCCTGAAAATCCTGGCTCCGTCCCTGACGGCTGTGCACGCGGGCTGCTGCTGCTGCTGCGATCATCCAGCCCCGTGGAGGCAGCAGCGAGGGTTGATGGATCACAGAAGAGATGTTGTGACACTCCCTACCTGTGGGTGTCGTCGAGGCGCCCATACCCTGGCTTGCCAGCAGAGGGCAGTGTACAGCAAAGTGTGGACTTCAATCTCCGCTCCATCTGTACGGGGATAGTGTTGCATCCTCGCACGCGTGGGTTTGCTCCGGTTTCCTCCGGTTTTACTGGACATCTGTGCAAGAAAAGAGCTTCTTAGCTCATCGGATTCCTCCAATTCTAAATGGAAGATTCAGATTTCTGATTCCTCCCACATTCATGGAGTTGGCCAAACATCGTAAGATCGGGCCACGGCTTGGGCGATTTTTTTGCCGCGCCGGTTCTGGCTGCTTTTCCGCTCATGTCAGAATCGGAATCGTCTTTATACTGCAGGAGGAATCCGATGAGCTATAAAGCTCTTTTTCACATATGTCCAGTAGGGAGCGGGTCAGAACGTTATAACAACAAACAGTACAAAAACATGATAGTAGTGCAAAGTACAAGAAAGGTTAAAAAACATAAATACAACACTGAACCATCCCCATCCTTCCAGGCTAAGCCCACCTGAGGCATTCACTTATTTTTCAGAAGCGACCTGGCCACAAACGATATAGCTCAACAAAGCGGCCCCATCATTAGTACATTTCTAGCAGCAAAATCATCAAAAATAATCCCACGTGGTTTTAGGGACACTGCGTGTGACTTCACTCTGTGCGGACTTGACTCGCCTTAGAGCGTGGGAGTGAAACGCATGGGAAGTGAGTGCCTCGCAAACCTGGGCGACGTGGCATGACGAGTCCCGTTGCATTTTGCCGTTGACGCCTTTGCCCGTGCAAGTTAATTGGATCGCAGAGTGCGCATCGCCCTCTGCACCGAATCGTGGCACTCGGCGTGTCCACGATCAAGCAATTAATAATCCGCGTGGCCTCTATTGCAGTACTCTGGTAACTCATTATTAGTAGTATTAGTGTATTCATTAGTCACGCATTCACGTAATGACACCCCCCCCCCCCAACTCTTCCCGCTAAGATCGTCCGTATAGCCTGAACAGCCTCAAATGAGTACATGGTGCTGTGTTTAAACAACATCATTGGGGAGACAAAGGCGGCCGGCCAAGGTGTTACCCACCCACTCGTGTGCCACAGTACCGGCCTTCATAGGTGCTCGCGAACAGCACTTGCTCTTCCAGTCTGTTAAGGCTACACGGGGGATCTTTTTCTTTGGAGAAGGAGAGAGGAACACACACACGTACACAGTGGCACGTCTATTTAAATTAAAATATCTCCACCTGGATAAATCTTGAGATGAAGCATCTCCGCTTGCAAGGCGGCGATGACAAGCGCGCACACGTGCGTGCGTGTGTGCGCGCGGTATTCTTCACAATGAGCAGATGCAATTTTGATATGAAGCGTAAGATGCTGAAGGGGCCCGACCAGCTGAAACATGTTGCGGCTCAGCAACAAGGAGCACTCGTGATGGCAATCTGCATGCACGGAACGGATACCCACTGACCCAATGTCGATCCTAATGATGTTGCCCAAGTGCTAGAAAGGTCGTCTGTGGCGCGAGAACAACCCGCAAACCAAACATGATCGACATTTGGCCAAGGAGGTTATTCGGATCCGTTTACTCATAGGGTTTAGGGTCAGCCGAGAGTGTTTTAATCGCTTTCAGTTGGGTGTTAAACTCTTGCAAATGTTACCATTCGCATGATCGCTTAGCTGTAAACCCATACGGTTTACCCCGAAGGCTTGACCAGGGAAGTTGAGTTTTCAGATCCATACGGCGTACAGCCGTTTCAATACGGGCAAAAATCAATGTCTTATTTGTTTGTGTTTCTCCCTTGTGATGGGACTTTGTAGGATGAACGTTGAGATTAATAAAGGCAAGGGGTGACCAATAAGGGTCTGAGTTGGTCTGTAATAAGGTAGGGGTACTGATAAGGGATTGACAGGAGGTTTGTGATCAGTGGGCCGAGTAATTCGCGTAAAGTGCGATTCATATTCTTGGTTCTTTCGGTAAAGTCACGTAGAAGGGCAACAATGAAATAAAAAAAATATATAAAACAATACAATTCTCACGACGTTTCGACTGCAACACAAGCAATCATCATCAGGTGTGAAAACCACAGTAAGAAAATTTGAAAAAATGATAACAATAAAATTATCACGACGTTTCGACTGCAACACAAGCAATCATCATCAGGTGTGAAAACCACAGCAAGAAAATTTGAAATCTGAAAAAAATATATTGCTGTGGTTTTCACACCTGATGATGATTGCTTGTGTTGCAGTCGAAACGTCGTGAGATTTTTTTTTGTTTCCCTTCTACGTGACTTTACCGAAAGAACCAAGAATATGAATCCCTGCAGTCTCGAAAGCTTTAAATCAAAATTTGAAGTGCGGTTGGATGCCTGGATATAGAGCGCCGCGTTTCCTATGGGTTGACCGATGTCATAGCGACACTCGCACAAGACGGGGCGGTTCTTCTTCTTCTCGTCCTTTTGCCAAAGTGGAACTGCCGCGGGTGTTTATTTTTACTCCAGAGCTCCCGTAGGATTTCTTTTTTTGTGAGTCATAGTGATAAAATCGGGGAGGAGAGAATCGAGTGGAAGGGTGATGGAGGTCTGATACGGTCTTTTTTTTTACCTATAAATGTCATTGTTTGTCTGTCCGTGTGTGTGGCCCAAACTTGCGAAGGATTTGACTCGCAAACCGTGGGGTTTTCGTATTTAAAAAAAAAGTAGCCAGGTAGCACGCCATAAGCCCCGTGCTGAGCCAGCGCTATTCCGATTTCGCGTCCGTCACCTTTAAAGTAGTTTAATTAGCGAGTTCGTGCTGTTTTCAGTTATTTATTAATTAGCTAGCGCGCACTCGCCCATACCAACTCACGTTCCGTGGGGGGGAGCGCCCCTACCAACTCACGCGTTCCGTGGTGGGGGGGGAAGCGCCCCTACCAGCTCACACGTTCCGTGGGGGGGGAGCGTCCCTACCAACTCATGAGTTCCGTGGGGGGGAGCGCCCCTACCAACTCACGCGGTCCATGGGGGGGGGGGCGCCCCTACCAACTCACGAGTTCCGTGGGGGGGAGCGCCCCTACCAACTCACGTGTTCCATGGGGGGGAGCGCCCCTACCAACTCACGCGTTCCGTGGGGGGGGACCGCCCCTACCAACTCACGCGTTCTGTGGGGGGGAGCGCCCCTACCAACTCACGCGTTCCGTGGGGGGGACCGTCCATACCAACTAACGCGTTCCATGGGGGGGAGCGCCCCTACCAACTCACGCGTTCCATGGGGGGGAGCGCCCCTACCAACTCACGCGTTCCGTGGGGGGGACCGCCCCTACCAACTCGCGTTCTGTGGGGGGGAGCGCCCCTACCAACTCACGCGTTCCGTGGGGGGGACCGTCCATACCAACTCACGCGTTCCATGGGGGGGAGCGCCCCTACCAACTCACGCGTTCCGTGGGGGGGACCGTCCATACCAACTCACGCGTTCCATGGGGGGGAGCGCCCATACCAACTCACGCGTTCTGTGGGGGGGAGCGCCCCTACCAACTCACGCGTTCCGTGGGGGGACCGTCCATACCAACTCGCGCGTTTCATGGGGGGGGGGGCGCCCATACCAACTCACGCGTTTCGTGGGGGGGAGCGCCCATACCAACTCACGAGTTTCGTGGGGGGGAGCGCCCATACCAACTCACGCGTTTCGTGGGGGGGAGCGCCCATACCAACTCACGAGTTTCGTGGGGGGGAGCGCCCCTACCAACTCACGCGTTCCGTGGGGGGGGGAGCGCCCCTACCAACTCACACGCGTTCGGTGGGGGTGGGGGGGAATTTCTCTTTCGTATGCACACTTCGCAAGGTAACACAGAGATTTACAGCTCCCTTCAAGCATTTATTACCATAAATGTTTACCCATTACAAATTGCCTTTTTTAGGTTATAGATTTAATGCCACGGAAGACCCAATGTTTTTGAAGAATAGCCTTTTTCTGTACTCTTGAGGCATAAGCATCCACGCATTATCACTGTACAGGGGCAAACCAATACATATACTCAATTACGTCTTCATTCTATGCTATTTACACTTTAGTAGGGGGTTGAGCAGTGACGTTATGTCACTTACGCATGATTGGTGCGCATCTGCTCATAGTTACAGGTAGGTCCGTGTGTGTGTGTGTGTGCGAGTCAATGTGTGTGTGTGTGTGACAGTCGCTGTTTGTTTGTGTACATCATGTATGTGTGTGCGGTGTGTTTAAGTCGATGTGTGTCTGTCCGTCGATATGTGTGTGCGTAGTTCCATGTGCGTGTGAGTCTGAATATGTGTGTTTAAGTCGATGTGTCTGTGTGTGTGGGTCCATGTGTGTCAGTCGATGTGTATGTGTGTGTACGTCGCAATGTGTGTCTGCGTGAGTCCATGTGCATTTGTAAGTCGACGTGTGTGTGTAAGTCGATGCGTTTGTTTGTGGGTCGATGTGTGTGTGTTTTAGTCGATATGATGTGTTTGTGTAAGTCCATATGTGTGTGTGTAGGTCGATGTGTTTGTTACTCTATGTATGTGTGTGTAATTCGATGTGTGTGTAATTTGATGTGTGTGTGTGTGAGTCGCTGTGTGTGTGTGTGGGGAGCGATAGTGTAGCGGTTAGCGCGCTGCGCTATGAACCTGGCGACCCGGGTTCGATTCCCGCTCACGGCCAACACCAGTGACGATTATCTGAACCGGTCCCGGGCCTCCCCTAGGTCGACTCAGCCTCAAATGAGTACCTGGTGCGGTGGATAAAAAACATTGCCACTGGGGAGACAAAGGCGGTCGGGCGTGGTGCTGGCCACCCACCGTTCCAGCCTTCATAGGTGCTCGCTAACAGCACTTGCCCCTACAGTCTGTTAAGGCTATACGGGGGATCTTTGTCGCTGTGTGTGTACGTCCATGTGTATGTGTGAGTTGATGTATGTGTGTATGTAAGTCCGTGTGTGTGTGCAAGTCGGTGTGTGTAGTTCCATGTGTGAGTCTATGTGTATGTGTGCGACGATATGTGAGTGTGTAAGTCAATGTGTCTGTGTACTTCTGTGTGTGCGTAAATCGATGTGTGTGTTAGTCAATGTGTGTGCGTGGTGTGTGTGTGTAGACAACTAATATTTAACAATTAAGTTCGTAATTTTTACACTATTAATATGTGTCTAAGTCCATGTATGTGTGTAAGTTGATGTGTGTGTGTGTCCATGTGTGTGTAAGTCGATGTGTTTGTGTTAGTCTACGTGTGTGTGTCATCTCAGTCAGTCGACCCGTGGCACCTGGGTCTGCCCCGTGACCTGCCAGCGGGCGTTCGACACTTCACGTGGCCTCGGGGTGCACATAGCCTGGCACATGGTGACGTGGTGACGTCACCGCCACTTAGTGGCGAATGGCGGTTGTTGTTGTGTCAGTATATGTGTGTGTCGCTGTGTATGTACATCGATATGTCTGCACGCAAGTGAATGTGTGTGTGGATCTATGTGCGTGTGTGAGTCGATGTGTGTGTGTGCGTGGGTCCAAGTGTGTGTGTGTTAGTCAATATGTGTGTGTGTAGGTCGATGTGTGTGAGTCTATGTATGTGTGTGTGGGTCAATGTGTGTGTGTGTAAGTCGATATGTGTCTGTGTTTTTTGCGCCCGGGCAACGCCGAGTACTTCCCGCTGGTATGCGATAAATGTATGAACGCTTGCCAACGTGGAACTTCCGCGGATTTCTTTTTGTTCGTCATTGGTGATAAAGTCGGGGGCTGAGTGAGTGGGAGGGAGATAGAAGATGGCTTAGATGAGGAGGCGAAAACCTGCGGTTCCGGAACCTCATGAGGCTTTTTAAGGACTGCTTCGTGACGATATTTATTAGGGACCGTCTCGTAATTCACACGCATTGCGGCTCTTGAAATATCGATTTTTTTTTGTTTACAGAATTCTATTTTTTAAAAATGTCTCTTTTTTAATTTTGGTTGCCGATCGCTGGCCAACGCAGAACTTCCGCGGATGTTTAGAGCTGCCGTGGATTTCTTTGTGTTCGTCATGGTGATAAAGTGGGAGGTTGCTGAGTGGGAGGCAGAGCGTTATATATAAATATATAACGCCGTGTGCCAGTGAGGAGAGAGAGAGAGCCGACTACACCGAGCATCTTCTTGTTTCCTCTGATCGTAAAAAAGAGAGAGACGGAACGAGGGAGCCGAGAAGAAGGGAGAGAGATCGGATCGCTGTTCACTCCGTCGTGGTGCTGATCGGCTCGGCTTCATATAAAACGCGCGCGCACGCACGCACACACACAGACCAGCGTTATTGTGTAAACGTTCTTTCGCTTTACTCACTTCAGCCGCTGTGGTCGTGCGTCAGAGATAAGGAGGGTTAGCCGAAGGAATACTCGGCAAGAGTGGGATTAGGGAAGCTCGCGGACGGGAGATATTCTGGAGGAGGAACACAACGGAAACGGATAAATGTGAAGGGCAGGCGAGTGGTGATGATGAATTATAATAATAATCCTCATAATAAAACCTTTATAGTCTAGAATAGCATGCAGCTGTCTTGCAGGCGAGAGCTGGGATTATAAGGGAAATCCACGACAGATATAGCATGCAGATTAAGAATACGTTTGCTACGGTACAGTACTTGTGAATACATTACGAATCGTCACCGCATTAGACGTACGAATGAATAAACGGTAGAGAAAGATTTTATGGAAATGAATTATATATTTTATATTAATAATACATTATTAAAAAAAAAACGTACTGTTTAGAGTACAATTAAGTTTATAAGCGGGGGCGATAGCTGGGATTATAGCTGAACGAAAGAGGCAGGTAAGCACGCAGATTAACAACGCGTGGTGTAGCCTACGACGCAGCAGCAGCAGCAGACTCGTCTCGCTGTGCGAATATTGGCAATCATCGAACGAGCGAAATTAATTAATGAATGAGCGCGAAAGGAAAGACACGGGTGACGAGACGAGAAGACGTTGCGGCAACCGAAGCAGGAAGAATAATATATCGTGTGAAGAGCGTACCGGATTGCGAATGTCACCAACATTGAATGGACGTACGCATGAATGATTTAGTGAATGGGCGCTTAGAGGAACGACGGGGCAAGACGAGACATCGGCAACCCGGCACTGGGAGAATATTTCAAAGCGTCCTTCGACGAAGAGTGTGAGCGAGAGAGGAGAAGCATGGAGGAAGAACTCAAGTGCCCCGTGTGCCAGGCGCTGTTCCGCGATCCGGTGATCCTTCCCTGCTCGCACAGCCTGTGCCAAGACTGCGCCTCCACGTGCACCGCCACGCCAAGCCCAGACTGCGAGACGCCTTCTTCTCCTCTTCTACCGCCACAGCATAATCCTCCTCCTCAACATCAGCATCATCATCAACAGCAGCAGCATCATCATCAGCAGCTGCAACAACAACAGCTGCAACAGCAGCAGCAACAGCGAAGGGCGTCTTGCCCCGACTACGAGGCAGCTGGCCTCGACGCGGATCAGCTGAGCCTCTACAGCGAAGCGGACAGCGGCTACTACGGCTCCTTCCTCGGCAACCCGTCGGGAGGCTCCCCGGGGCCCCTGCGTTCCACCCCGCTGAGCCGCCACACTCTCCTGCTGCTGCTGCCCGCGCTCGCGTGCCCGCGATGTAGCAGGGTGGCGCATCTGGACGAGAGGGGAGCGCAGGGTCTGCCCCGCAACAGGGTGCTGGCGGCGGTCGTGCGCAGATTCCGACTGCGGGAGCGGCAAGAGAAGGAGGAGGATGATGAGGATGATGTTGAGGATGTTGACGAGGAAGTAGCCAACGCCGGAGGCGTCAAGGTAATCGCTGGTGGCGGTGCTGCTGCTGCTGCTGCTGCTGGCGACGGTGGTTCTCCGACAGTCTGCGAGCTTTGCGATGGCGATCGCCCCGAGGCTGCGAGCGTGCTCTGTGAGCAGTGCCAGGTGGCGTACTGCAACGCGTGCCGCGAGAGATGCCACCCGGCCCGCGGGCCCCTCGCCCGCCATCGACTGCTGCCCGCGGCGGGCAGAAGCCGTGATGCGGCTGCCGACGAGTCGGCGGCGTGGAAGCAGAGGGCTCACGATGGTGACGGCGATGAGACGCAGCAGGAGGAGGGAGCAGCCGCTCAGGTGATTATCACTGGGAGGGTTTTTTTAAATATTATAACTGGCATGTTTTTTTTTATTATTACTGGCAGGTGATCATCACTGTCATGTTTTTATTTTAGGTTTTTTTATTACTGGCAGGCTTTTTTATATTATTGCTGGCATGTTTTTTATTATTACTGGCAGGTGATTATCGCTGGCATGCTTTATTTTATGTTTTTTATTACTGGCAGGCTTTTTTTTCATATTATAACTGGCATGTTTTTATTATTACTGGCAGGTGATCATCACTGTCATGTTTTTATTTTATGTTTTGTATTACTGGCAGGCTTTTTTATATTATTGCTGGCATGTTTTTATTATTACTGGCAGGTGATTATCGCTGGCATGCTTTATTTTATGTTTTTTTATTACTGGTAGGCTTTTTAAATGTTATAACTGGCATGTTTCTATTATTACTGGCAGGTGATCATCACTGTCATGTTTTTATTTTATGTTGTTATTACTGGCACGTTTTTTTGTATTGTTACTGGCAGGTGATTATCACTGGCAGCAGTAGTTGTTGCGGTAGAAGTCCATGTAGTCGCAGTCGGGAGTGACACTTGCTATGTATGGTCAAGTCAAGTTTTTTTCTTTTGCGTACTTTGCGTCGCCTATTTTTGGCACGAATCTGCCCACTCAAAGCGCCGTCACGTTCAAAACTCAAGATACCATTCTAAACGGTGAGGGAAAATAAAATACCTTCACAAACTACCTCCAGTTGTTTAACTTGCGGGTCATTTTTCAAACTTGGGTCACCGCGCCGACGCACGACGGTGATGAGATGTTAACTACCTCGCCTGGTATGCAGGAGATCGTGGGTTCGATCCCGACCCTGATGCCTGCTGTATATTTGGAGTTTGCGTGTCTCTCTCATCATCATCACGGTGGCTAGGAGATGTTAACTACCTCGCCTGGTATGCAGGAGGTCGAGGGTTCGATCCCGACCCTGATGCCTGCTGTATATTTGGAGTTTGCGTGTCTCTCATCATCATCACGGTGGCTAGGAGATGTTAACTACCTCGCCTGGTATGCAGGAGGTCGTGGGTTCGATCCCGACCCTGATGCCTGCTGTGTATTTGGAGTTTGAGTGTTCACTCTCCTCGTGGTCGCGTGAATTTTTTCTCCGGGTCCTCCGGTTTTCCCCTCGCACATTTAGAATCAACACGCATTGAGATTATTTAGATTATTTCGGTGCTATGAATGTCCAAATGATGGGGCCACTTTGTTGAGCTATCATTTGTGGCCAGGTCGCTTCTGCAAAATAAGTTAATGCCTCATTGGGCTTTGCCTGGTAGGATGGGGATGGTTTAGTCTCTTTGGTATGAGTTTGTTTGATTTTCTTTACCTTTCTTGTACTTTGCACTCCTATCGGGGTTTTGCACTGTTTGTTGTTGCAACGTTCTTACCAGCCACTACTGGACATCTGTGAAAGGGAGCTTTATAGCTACGAGGATTCCTCCAGGATAAATGAATATTCTGATTCTGATACTCTTGCGAATGACAACATCACGGGATCTTTGTTTACGCCAGCTGTGAGGCGGAGGGCCCATATAGTACGTTACGGTTAATGCATTCCGTGGCATTAACCAGGGCGGCCCTGCCGGATTCGCACCGTGAACGTCTTAAAACAAACGGCGAACGCGCGACCGCTGAGTCGTGTCAGCAGCAGCAGCAGCGTCATAATCACGGGACCTCCCTTGCCAGTATCAACATATGAGAATAGGTTTGACCCTTTCTGGCAATAAAGCAGTTTGTGTTCAGATGTTAAAACACCAAACTGAAACCCTTTGCAAGGAATCATATCTGCATTAATCACATATACTACTGGTGAACAAAGGGTGAAACCTATTATTATATTTTGATATTGGCAAGGGAGGTCCCATGATGTAGCTGGTCGCCCCGAGCTCTCAATGTCCTGATGGTGGCATTGTCTTTGTGCTGTTCGCCTTTTGGCGTCCTCTGGTCTAACACTGTTTGAGACTAGGCCCTAAAACGACTGTCTGGCGTGGACCAATCAGTTTCGAAGACGATACTTATGCTATCAGAGCATTTATTTAGTTTGCATGTTCACCGCAAGTATACGTGTTTCATGCAGACATGGTTTCTTGCAAATTATTTCAGTTTGGTGTTTTAACATCTGAACACCACTGTTTTATTGACAGAAAATATACAAACTATTCTTATACAGTGAGGGAAAAAAAGTATTTGATCCCCTGCTGATTTTGTACGTTTGCCCACTGACAAAGAAATGATCAGTCTATAATTTTAATGGAAGGTTTATTTGAACAGTGAGAGACAAAATAACAACAAAAAAATCCAGAAAAACGCATGTCAAAAATTATATAAATTGATTTGCATTTTAATGAGGGAAATAAGTATTTGACCCCCTCTCAATCAGAAATATTTCTGGCTCCCAGGTGTCTTTTATACAGGTAACAAGCTGAGATTAGGAGCACTCCCTTTAAGTGTGTTCCTAATCTCAGCTCGTTACCTGTATAAAAGACACCTGTCCACAGAAGCAATCAATCAGATTCCAAACTCTCCACCATGGCCAAGACCAAAGAGCTCTCCAAGGATGTCAGGGACAAGATTGTAGACATACACAAGGCTGGAATGGGCTACAAGACCATTGCCAAGCAGCTTGGTGAGAAGGTGACAACAGTTGATGCGATTATTCGCAAATGGAAGAAACACAAAAGAACTTTCAATCTCCCTCGGCCTGGGGCTCCATGCAAGATCTCACCTCGTGGAGTTGCAATAATCATGAGAACGGTGAGGAATCAGCCCAGACCTACTCGGGAGGATCTTGTCAATGATCTCAAGGCAGCTGGGACTATAGTCACCAAGAAAACAATTGGTAACACACTATGCCGTGAAGGACTGAAATCCTGCAGCGCCCGCAAGGTCCCCCTGCTCAAGAAAGCACATATACATGCCTGTCTGAAGTTTGACAATGAACATCTGAATGATTCAGAGGACAACTGGGTGAAAGTGTTGTGGTCAGATGAGACCAAAATGGAGCTCTTTGGCATCAACTCAACTCGCCGTGTTTGGAGGAGGTGGAATGCTGCATATGACCCCAAGAACACCATCCCCACCGTCAAACATGGAGGTGGAACATTATGCTTTGGGGGTGTTTTTCTGCTAAGGGGACAGGACAACTTCACCGCATCAGGGACGATGGACGGGGCCATGTACCATCAAATCTTGGGTGAGAACCTCCTTCCCTCAGCCAGGGCATTGAAAATGGGTCGTGGATGGGTATTCCAGCATCACAATGACCCAAAACACACGGCCAAGGCAACAAAGTAGTGGCTCAAGAAGAAGCACATTAAGGTCCTGGAGTAGCCTAGCCAATCTCCAGACCTTAATCCCATAGAAAATGTGGAGGGAGCTGAAAGTTCGAGTTTCCAAACGTCAGCCTCGAAACCTTAATGACTTGGAGAAGATCTGCAAAGAGGAGTGGGACAAAATCCCTCCTGAGATGTGTGCAAACCTGGTGGCCAACTACAAGAAACGTCTGACCTCTGTGATTGCCAACAAGGGTTTTGCCACCAAGTACTAAGTGATGTTTTGCAGAGGGGTCAAATACTTATTTCCCTCATTAAAATGCAAATCAATTTATAACATTTTTGACATGCGTTTTTCTGGATGTTTTTGTTGTTATTCTGTCTCTCACTGTTCAAAGAAACCTACCATTAAAATTATAGACTGTTCATTTCTTTGTCAGTGGGCAAACGTACAAAATTAGCAGATGTTGCAGTGCTTTCCAAAATACATGTTATATGTTAAACATTACAATTCACGATATCTATTCTAATATTCACCACCGTGCGTGTGAGGTTTTAACATACTCTGCATTGGTATATTACGTGTGTGCAATAATAAGGCCGAACATTGTGAACGCCATAGATTCATGATGAACCTCATCATGGCAGTACTCCGGCTCTCACATGATGTCCGGGATGCAGTCACGTTTGGTCTGCTGATGGTCGGCGACGCGGCAATCGACTCATCTCGACGAGCTGTACACGATGCACTATTCAAAGTTGAATTTTTCGATAACGGATTTTGTTAACGCTGAAACGTTTGGCGTTTCGACATCGCGGAGTGGCACTGATGTCGGATTGATTGGTACCCCGGTCGCGGAGTGAAGTAACACTGCCTGGACAAAAAATCGTGTCCCAGAAATAACATAATTAATTGCCGTGGCCAGTTTGTATTATTTGGTACCCCCGGGGCACCGCCATAAGGATCATGTACTCTAAACAGTCCTTGTATAAGTATTTGTGAAACAGCATAGTAACCACGAATGCTATACAAAACAAGCGACTATAGATCGCATTTTTAATGCCATTCATTGAGGCTTTCCCCAGCCAATATAATGTACGCACAATTAGTGACTTTTGTGCTAGCTCGTCAAAAATTAGATCGTTAGATTGTTAACATTTCCCTTGCTATTCAATACACCGGCTTGCTGAGCAGCCAAATCAATTGGTATAATTTTCCCACGTGACAACTTGGTTTGAACGTCTCTGTCGGCTGATGGCGGGAAATTGGCATTCTACCTAAGGGGTATAGCCCAAAATAAAGCCGAACTATACACCAGATTGAATTTAATTTCCACACCGCGCCAGGCTACTCATTTGAGGACAAGTTGACCTAGGGGAGGCCCAGGACCGGTTCAAATAATCGGCACCGGTATTGGTGACCGTGAGCGGGAATCAAACCTGGGGATCGCCGGTGGGGGGGTGGGGGGGGATTTGTAGCGCAGCGCGCCAACCTCTGTGCCACCGCTCCTATGACACGCTGCAGGACACACACACACACTGTCTCTATCGCTCTCGCTCCAGCAGCCGTGGGTGGCCAGAGTCAAAGTCGTCGCGCAACCGGTGAGCTCTCATTAACGAGCCCCCCCCCCCCCACCTCCTCCGACCCCGTGGGCCCCCGCGTGCTTTTTTCGTGCCCAGGAGGTCCCGCCGTGCTCCGGCCTGGTGGCGTCGCGTCGCAAGTCGCTCACCGGCCGCCTCTCGCCGGCCGTCTGGCAGCAGCAGCAGCAGCAGCGGCGGCAGCGGCGGCGGCGGCGGCCGCCTCACGAGGGGCTGCCGGATCGGCCGGAGTCCGTCGACCCGGCGGCACCGCGCTCCGGCGGCCCCGGCGGCGGCACCGTTGGAGGAGGAGGAAGAGGAGGAGGAGGAGGAGGAAGAGGAGGAGGAAGAGGAGGAGGAGGCACCGTGAGCGCGACCGTGAGCGCGTGCGACGAGCACGAGCTGGAGCACCACAGCATGTTCTGCGTGACGTGCGCCCGCCCCGTGTGCTACCAGTGCCTGGAGGAGGGCAGCCACTCGCGGCACACCGTGCGGGCCCTCGGGGCAATGTGGCTTCAGCACAAGGTGAGGGAGCGTCGCGCGGTGGGGCTGGGGGGGGTGGGGGGGTGGGGGGGGGGGGGTAACGCGCCGTGCCCCCTGTCGGGACGTCGGTCGTCGGACGGCTCTCCCGCGCGACGTTCGGCACGATGTCCGACGTTTCGGGTCCGCATGCCGGGGGGGAGGTTGTTCAGAAAAGGTCGCCGTTGCGCCGGTGCCGGAACGACGCGCGCGGGGCGCAAACCCAGGCGCGGCGCCGGACGTCTGCGGGAAAGAGCTTCGCGGCTCATCGGATTCCTCCACCGCAAAGGAATATTCTGAGCGTGACGCATCGATGGGAGAGGCCGCGCAGCGGCGCGGCCTCCCTCACGCTGCGTCTTCACGGTCTTCTGATTGACGCCTGAAGGCTCCGCGGCGAGCCGATGGGTGCAGGGCAGGACGTGCACAGCTGTAGCAAGGGGGGTAGGGATCTGCTAGAGAGGGGTGGGTGGGGGGGTACAGAGAGGAGTCTTGTACAGACCTCGGACAAAAGCCTTTTGAATTGTGTGCCCAAGTCTGGCCCCGGCTGTGGTTAACCTGTTTCGATACAGCCACACAAACCCATCCGTCCATCATTTGAATTGTCCATAGGTGGTCTCCCGCTCATTGACCCATCCTCTCCCGTGCCTTTGAGTTGCGATGATTATTCTAATAATGGTCTCAATGCATGTACGTATGTATGTAGAACTTATTTCGCATTGTACGTAGCCAACCGCGCTAATCGGAGGTCCGGCGGAGGGAGGACAACAAACTGAACACAAAAAGCGGTTCTCAAGCAATGAGTTCGCAATCTGGATGATTTAAAAATGCATAGCTCCAGCGGCTTCCGAATATCAGTAGAGCGATCGAGACGGCCGCAGAAGCGCATCCGAAAGTGCGCGATGGCGGTGACGCCCGTCTTTGTTCGATGACTTCGCCAAAAGCCGCCACTGCTGCCGTGAGGATGACCGAAGTTTGTGCTATGACGGTGTATTGGTCCTGTGGTACCCAGATGTCGGTGCCGGTCAACTCCCGCTGCCACCCGGCCACGACATGCGGCAGCTCTAGAACATCCGGACGCGGGGCGGTCTCGGCGATGGGTCACGCACAGGAATTGAAAACTCGTCCCTTTAGAACCGCTTTTTTTTTGGTGTGTCAGCCACAAATGACTCACACACGGACACATAACACAGTCAGGCTTGTTCAACGCTGCTGGTTTATCCCAGATGTTATTGGTGAGAGCACTCACTCTAGATCATGGCGCCCTGTCATCAGAAACATCGCGCTGTTGCGGATGATGCATAGCCCATACCTCCCGATTAGCACGGTTGGCTATTTACGGTGCGAAAGAAGTCCAACGTACATACGTGTGTAGGGGATGTCCGAGCCATCCTCACGCACTCGCACCACGCAGACACACAATCTCCGCACTCCGCACGGCACACACCAATCACGCGCACGGGAATGCACTAGACGGGGGTCAAGGGTTAAGGGGCACTGACGTCACACGGACTCGGCCCGCGAGCCGGAGATGTGGATTGGGAACGAGGGCGGAGATGGAGGCTTTAAAAGGGGGCTGCGAGACGCGTGTTCGGGGTTGGTTTTAGGAACGAGCGTGGCTGTGGTTTGAAGAATAAAGAAGTGCCTAACCAGTCTCCGACTCCTCTTCACGTAGTTACAGAGGCAGCATTTTGGCGTTTGTGAGTTGTGCTGGGCATGAAGAGCGATGGCGCTTGGGTGAGCGCATTGCGCTACGAACCCGGCGACCCGAGTTCGGTCCCCAACCGCGGCTAACATCGATGGCGAGTGCCTGAACCTTTCCCAGGCATCCCCAACGGCAACTCAGCCTAAACTGAATTCTGTACCTGGCGCGCTGTTGAAATGCACGAGCAATGGGGGAGACAAAGGCGGCCGGGCGTGGGTCTGGCAATACCAGCCCCTCGCGTGCCCTTCCGGCCTTAATAGGTGCCAACGAGCTTTGCCCCAAAGAGTTTGTTGTAGGCTACTGGGATCTTTGTCTTTGGGCTTGAGGAGAGGGTCTCGCTCACCCCCCTCCCCCCCCAGTGGGTGTTGTACAGACCGCGGAGCTTGGGGGTCCCGGGGTCAAACGGATCTCAATGTGCATCCCGTGCGGCTCTTCGCGATTTGAATCGGGTTCGAGGGCAATGCGAGGAACACCTCTGCATTGAGGCGCACGCAGACAACGTTGACAGTCCCTCGGCGGGGATGAAGGACGGCGTTCGAAGGGATCTCAAAAACCAGTTGCACCTTGTCAACTTTCCACGCACCATTTTCATTTTTCCCGGTGGCGGCCTGCCATTTTCTTTCTGGAAATATCCCCAATCAAGATGCCCCCCCCCCTCCACCGGCTTTTATTTCACCGCACGACGCCCGTCCTACGATCAAATCCATCTTCCATGGTTCGGGGTGGGTGGGGTGGTGGTGGGGGGGGGTTAAAACATAAACAAAAAATAAGATAAAGTACAACAACGCGTTGGGCGAAATCTCTGGGCCAGCGGTGTCGCCCTGGCATGCAGATCGCAGTGCCACGCGGCCGCGTGGTGCCCTCTCTTCAATCTCCGTCTCCCGATGCCCTTCCTCCCCTCCTCCTCCTCTCGCTCAGCTGCATGCTAACGCGCCATCTGCTTATCCACGGCTTAGCTCCTCCGCCGCCGCACAACACAAAAGATCCTCACCCCCCCCCCCCCCCGTGTAGCCTACGCAGGCTGTTCGTGCCTACGCAGGCTGTTCGTGCGAACGCAGGCTGTTCGTGCCTGTGCGGGCTGTTCGTGCGAACGCGGGCTGTTCGTGCCTACGCAGGCTGTTCGTGCGAACGCCGTTTGGCGAGCGCCGCTGATTCCTCGAGTCTAAATAAAGATTTTTGATTCCGAATGCCGGCCACTACGGCCACCGTCGTCTCCCCAGGGCCGATGATCGTTCACACGCCGCACTGTGGACTCATTTAAGGCCGAGTCGACGTAGGGGAGGCCCAGATATTCGCCACCGATGTTGGCTGTTGAGCGGGAATCAACGTCGGGGTGGGGGGGTGGTGGCAGGGGTGGCCCACCGCTGCCACCACCCCCTTTGTGTGTGCAGAACTGAGACCCAGCAGCTCTGCAAGAAAAGAGTGGGGTGGTAGTCGAGGGGGGGTGGGATGGGATGGGATGGGAGAGTGGGCGGCCTCTTGTCTTGCCCTAGGCACCCATCATTGACTCAGGGGCCCTAAGGGTTTGCTATTTATCGCCTCCGGCTTTTGTTGCGGCGGGGGGGGGGGGTAGAGCCACTGGTTTGCTTCGGCGATTATGATCATCAAACGCCAACAGATGTGCGAGGGAAAAAAAACTCCTCCTCCCTGCGTGTACAAGGGGGTAAAGGCGCAGCCCTGAAATCGCTCGCCTGCTCCGCTCGCTGGCGGATGATCCTCCGCTCGAGGGATGCGCTAGAGATCCGCTCTGCATGGTGTTTGGCCTACCCTTGCACACCGGCCAGGCGTCCCGACTGACCAGTGGCAAACCAATTTACATTCCTGCCTCGACAGCGAGAGAGGTCGATGGCGTGGACGAATTAAGAAAACTCGCCCCATCGTTTGAACTACCGCGCCGGAAGATTGGATCGAACTGGCGACCTCTGGATTGAAAGTCGCAGTGCGCTCACTGCACGTTGCAATCGAGAAGCATCCAGAGAGATTTCAGCGGGCCCCACAATTACGAACGACGCCGTCCCTGGATTTGTCCGGTGCCGATTGTGCCATGGGCAACGACGTGGCCTAGAGGTGGCGCGTTCACGGCTTGTTGTTTTTGTTGTTGTTGCGGAGGTTCACGGTCAAATCCAGCGGCCGCCCTGGTTAATACCGCCGCGTGCGTTAACCGTAATAATCAACCCCGTCCGCTTCACAGGTGGACGTTAAAGAGCCCCGTGGCGTCATTCGCAAGAGCGGTCGGCTGGTTGTGTGCTGGCAAACAGGGTCCACATCGTTTACCAAGATCGAAAATTGTCGCACAGTTTGGCGGAAGCTTTCGTATGGTGCGGTCGTGGCGAGTGACGTTTTTAAAAACAACGGCGCTGCCGCTACGCCTTGTCTCAATAAAATTAACTCTGAGCCGCTCGCGCGTTCCGAGATTCGGCGGTGAACGCGACACCCACCCACCCTGCGACTGGCAGACGCCTCGGAACGTGGAAAGGGGCTCATGAGCGGAGAGCTGGGAGCGCTGTGCCGAGTGATTCACGCTGGAGTCGGAGGCACCGGCGCATGCGATGACAATGAGAGCGCCGGCACTTCGCACGTTCCTGCAGTGTCGCGCTCCTCCTTGCCAGGAGTGGCCCCACGGCAGGGGCTGAAGGCGCCAGTGTCGAGAGGCCGCTCGCGTGGGGTGGAAAGCCGCATCGATGGCCCCGCCATGAGACGCGCGCCCATGCCGCCGTGCGCCCCAATAACGGCGTGCAACGCAAAATCATCGCCGGGCGTCCCCGTGGTGGCTAGGAGATGTTAACTACCTCGCCTGGTGTGCAGGAGGTCGTGGGTTCGATTCCGACCCTGACGCCTGCTGCTGTATATTTGGAGTTTGCGTGTCTCTCTCTCATCATCATCACGGTGGCTAGGAGATGTTAACTACCTCGCCTGGTATACAGGAAGTCGTGGGTTCGATTCCGACCCTGACGCCTGCTGTATATTTGGAGTTTGCGTGTCTCTCTCCCCGTGGTCGCGTGGATTTTTCTCCGGGTCCTCCGGTTTTTCCCTCCACATTTAGAATCAACATCGCGTGTTTAAGAGTATTTGGCTGCTTTAGATTTCCACATCATGATGATAAGCCACTTCGTTGAGCTCTCATTTGTGTGCTATATAGCACTTCTGAAAAAGTGCTGTATAGCTCAGTGGGCCTTACCTGGTAAAATAGTTTATAGTTTAGTTTTTAACTAACTAAATGTGAGCAGGCAAAACTTCTCCCTTGGTATTTATCTCCTTAGTATGCAGTATTTCCTCGATATTCAAGAACTTGCTATCCGAGATT